TATATATATATATATATATATATATGTTTGCTGCATACAAAAAAAAAGATAATTTTTGCAATGTGTAAGCATGTACGGATATATAGTTCGAAGTATTAAAAATTAGCAATGAAAGTTATCTTAACATCAAATTTCATTAAATTGAAATAATAATGTGTGATATATATATATATATATAAAATAATAGTGCACAAAGGCAAATTTTTGGTTGTAGGTTTGACGGGTTCAAGTAAAATCGAGCAACTCCTCGATCGACTAGCGCGATAAGAACTGAGCATGCGTACAGTTATCTCACTATCGGCATAAGAAAAATTAAGAACCCGATTTAAATGTTATCAAACGAAGATTAAATACATGGTGAATAAAATAGTCGTTTATTTTTAAAAATTGAATACTAATATAATTATAATAGAAACAGAAGAAAGCATATGTGTTAAGATAAGTTGCATACTAGTCAATTAATTAATACGTTAATCGTTAGTTTATTTGTTGAATAATCAATTGATATAGTATCATACATAATAAAAAATGTAAAGGTCAATCTATACTACATAATATAATAATATTAATTAACTAAAAAATTGTTAACTTTCCTAATTATAACCTCTTTTTGATTAGGATGGTATTTAAAAAATATAAAAAAGAAAAAAGTGAAGGGATAAAAAAATGACAACTACGCTCCTGGTCATGACGCGGTCAGTGATGCCGTAGCCAAGGCGACCGCAGCAGCAGACAACCGAAACTCCAACCATCAGACAACAAATATACAAATTTCTTCGGAGTGTATCACTCCGATTTTTTCTCCTCTTTGGTGCCTTCACCGTCTGTGCAGTTCTGTGGAGCGACAGGTACGGTTCTCTTCCTCGAAAAAAAATCATCTTGAGCACGCAATAGAATACGTTCGGTCGCGCAAGTGCGTCCGGGCGTTGTGATTGAAAGTTCACGCCATTCATGAAGACAGGTGAGCTAAATGATAGATAAAGACGGTCCTGTATGCTTCTCGTTCTTCCAAGCACAATATTTTCAACTTGTCATCTAATATTTCGTAGTTACTCTAATTGCCGGCTAAACATGCTTTCGCGGATTTACGTTCACGCTCGTTTTGTCGACTCTGCAAGACTTCAGTCTTAATATTATATGAAATTTAATTTATAATCTTATACAAATTTATTAACGGATAACACAGTATAAATATTAAAAGTATTCAATATAAAAAGTTTTTTTATTTTTTATTTTCATGAATTATATTTACAAAATTTATTTGTATTTTAAATGCCACTACCGTATATATACAACACTATTAATTTAAATATAAAACTAATATTTATCTATTTTATTTTTGCTATTAATCTTAAAAATTATGATATTGATAAACTCAAAGATAAATTATTCCATTGCGTTCTCTTGTTACATGTATATTAGTAAATTAATGGTATAATTCTGATAGACAAAATATTTGCAAATGTTTTTATTAAATTCAATTATTTAAGAAATCTTTGTAGTATTTTTTTTTGTAATTGAACGCAAATATTTGAACGACATAGATCTCATTTATTTATAATAAATATAACAATCTTGAACTTCTTTATGTAACATTGGTTAATAAAAAAAAAACCATGTTTTAATATTACTTAACCAATAGAAACATTTATAATGTTTCATTGAAAAACTTACTGTATATATAAAAAGTACTTTTAATCTATGTTGAAATAAGTGAAGAGTAAAATCTATCAGGATAATGCTCTCTAATTATTTTCATGATACAAACCTTTCTTCTGATAGATTCAATACTTTTAACGTAGATCGTCTGTTCAGTCACGCGTACAGTGCATTTTATTTCCACTCCCCCTATTTTCTTCCCCTTGATACTTTGTGTTTGGTACCTGCTCCCCCAACAGGTACGCTTTACCGATACATTTTACCGTGTGTACGTTATAATAGAAATGACGTGTCCTGTTCATATTGCAAGCTTTTCAGGGCTTCCTTTTGATGTTAGGATTATCTGGGATACACCTGTAAAAAAACGAAAGATATTAAGAATGATTGTTGTACCGCATAGGTTAGAATGACGAGTTCGTGTACGATTGTCTCTATTAAAGGTCCTCTCTTTGTATAAAAGGTATCTTTAATTATGTATACATATAAGGAATTACTTTATTATATCAATAATGAACAAGTATAAGTTTTATATTTATATTTAATATATCATATCTTATCATTTTCATTGTTTCTGTACATCTAATGAATTGTTTAACTATACATTTTTTTACAATTCATGTCAAAATTGTTTTTAAATGCAATGATGTACTTACATATTTTGTTAATTATTTATTTAATCTATTCATTTCCTTATTGTGCATTAATTTTTAAATAATTTATATTATATTACACCACGAACATAAACTAAAGTCTCAAATGGAATATTGCAAGTATAAATATATATGCGTATATATTGTTACCATACGATTAGAATTGTTACAAAGGAGTAATAGATTATCTTGAGTGTTTCTATATTGAGTAAGTTAGATATTATTGATATTTAAAAGGGAGAATATCATGTACATTGATGTCATAGGCTCATCTCTTTGAAAATAGGGAGGCTGTGGTGGTGGTGATACGGTGGGTGCAGAGGGAGGTGTAGTATCAATTACCATGACTACAACAGGAGCTCAGTATGCTCTCACAGCATCCACCGGAGCTAATGGCAGTGGGGGTAGCTCTTCTACGGTGGGGGTGGAGCAAAAACCAAGTGTTGTTGTCGTGACTACTTCCAGTTCCAGTGGTGGTGCTAACGTAGCCCAAACTCAGTCTACCAGAGGACAACAGCTAATTACCGTTGTTACCAGTCCTGATCCGTCAAGCCCGAGTAATTTACAACCCATTCAGGTACATAATATTACATTTAGTATTCTATATTATATCAAATTATAAATTTTAATTATAATTTTCTACTTTAAAAAAATGAAAATCATTATGTTTTATAAAAAACATATTAGCAGAGTTAAATAGTTTATATTTAATATATTATTATAATTAGTTATATTACTTATATATTACTATAATTAGTTAATAACATTTTCTATGCTTAAATTGTATAATCTATTAATGTTAATATTCTATTTTCAATACTTTGATTTTTATATTTAAAAATACCAGTTGGTCTTGAGAACATGCATACTATGAATAATACTTTAGTTGTTGGTTCAGGATCCTCTCGAAACAGCTGCAGATTCTTCCAATGGCTCAACAGGTACCCCAGCACATGTTACAGCACAAGTAGTGGTAAATACTACCCATTCTGGTCAGCATACATTTGTTGATAGTGACGCTGCATCTACATCTACTGGCGCTATTGTTAGTGGTTCTCCTCACTACATAACTGTTACAGGTACTTATAGACTACGATATTTCTTATTTAGCATGTATTATTATATAAAACCACATTGATATTCCTTTTTTATATCCTTTATATATAATTTTATAAATTGATTTAGTATATTACTGTAATTTGGTATCATCATGAAAAAGTTCATGATGTAAATATAATTTAATTGTATCAAAGAGATATAATGAATTTAAATGTATAACAAAGGATTGATCACAATGTAATGCATGCTATAAAGTAGACGGATTAATTTGAAAAGATATAGAACTTGAGTAGATATTTGACCCTTTCCATGCTGCTGAAAAATATGCCTTCTGACCACATTAGACACCAGTGATTCACCATCCTACGCATCCCTCACAACAACAGTAGGTGAGGGCAGTTACGATCACCATGCCTTTTACCCTGGTTCAAAATATTTTTATACTATAATAAATAATATATTATTAAATGTAGAAATTAATTTAGCGCCTTTTTTTCTTAACTTCTTTTTGATGCTAACTTTTAAATGGCATCAAATTTTTTATCAATCATTTGTTTATTTCTGCAAGTAGGTTTTATTTAATATTTTATATAGTATGAGTTATTTGGTATTATAGCAATTAGTATAAGTATAATTGGTGTATAATTAAAAATTATAAATAATAAAATATCTTACAAATTTATATAGAGATATTATTCTTAATAGATTGTTCTTAAAATATCAACATGTTGTTTGTTTCAGTATCTGGAGAACCAGAAGCGGTGGGGTCCGAATCAGTGTCCCATCCAACCTATGTTCAATATGTTGAGGGGGATGGTTCTACGTACATACCGACAAATAGTCAGATGTAATAATTGAAATATATTTTTATATTTGATTTGTATGCACAAGTTTTGTTTTATATCTTATATTTTTATAGGACATATCCAGTATATGCTGTTGGAGAGGCTGGTGCAATGTATACGCCTGCCTCAAGTCAATATTATACTCCAGCCTCAACACCAGTAACATATGCACAGGTTTTTATACTTTATTATACTTTTTTTTAAATAAATTTATTTATTAAATATTAAAAATATAAAATTTACTTAGGTCACAGCACAAGGATCAAATACTACTACTGGACAATTATTATCTCAGGGCAATGGCACTTACTTAATCCAGCAAAGCGTTGTAGATGGTGATCCAACAACACATACACTCATATCTGCTGCAGCTGCTGCTGCTCGAGCTAGTCCACAAACTGAAAATGCGGTAAGATTTTAATTAATGCATGTCATTATTACCTTCTCTGACTGCTTTTATTTTTTCTTGTAAATTAAGTAAAATTTTACGATATACTGAATGATTATTGCTACTTAACAAATTTCTGTATCATATTTCTAAAAGCATGCGGAAGGTATCATACATACTCTGCATGGTTGCAGGGTTTGAACATTATTTTTCAAAAATCAACAAGTATTCAGTGATTAGACAGTTGATATAAAATATATTTTATAATTGAAATAAGTAATTTTGTTTTTATTTTGTAATTAAAATATTATATAACATTATAGTATAAATATATTATATTGTAAGCAATGTATAACAAAAAACAAAATTCTTTTTTTAAATAATATGTTTATGTATTTGATTTATGAAGTATAAGATTTTAGATAAAATGAATATTTCTGATGCCTTTAATTTGGGCATTTATCAAATAGTCAGAATGTTGGGTTGTTTGATAGGAGGCTGTGGTTAGCGGGGGTGGCGGGGCATACTTGATCACTGGTAATTCAGGAAGTGCTGCTGTTACCGTGGAAGAAGCAGCAGCTGCAGCAGCAAATATGACGCATGCCACTAGGGTCTCCCAAGCCACAGTAAGCTCTTCTATTGACTCCTTAAGTCTTAGCTTTCTTATGTATAATTATGTTATATTAAGCATGTGTTTGCTATTGCCATACAAAGGGTGCTTTTGCTTTATACTAATAACTTTATATTATTTATTATATTATTGTAGTATTAAATGTAGCAAAGGATATATTATAATTATAATTAAGTATTACTCTTGTTAAAGCAAAAAGGTAAATGTAACACTTGATTGATATTCAGATTTGAAATAAAACAAATTTTTATATTTGTATTTTTTTTCTTTTTTTTTTTTCATTTGTACATAATAAAATCTTAGATTATTTAAATGCTGCTGTAGTACTGTCAATATATGTATTCTTTATGCTTTGTTTATATTAATAATTTATAAATAACAGGTACATTGGCTGGTGGGGAATTATGAAACCGCAGATGGTGTCTCTCTTCCAAGATCTACACTTTATAATCATTACTTACGCCATTGTTCAGAAAACAAACTAGATCCAGTAAATGCTGCGAGTTTTGGAAAACTAATAAGGTCCGTCTTCTTGGGCTTAAGAACAAGACGGTTAGGTACACGGTGAGATATCTCTTTAAAATATCTTTGTTTTATGAATAACATAAATATATGTATTGTAAAATATAACATTTTTTTAATGATTATTCTTAGAGGGAATTCTAAATATCACTACTATGGAATCCGAGTTAAACCCAGTTCTCCTTTGGTTATGTTAAATGAAGATGGTACATCACGTCAGCAACAAACTACGAATTCTCAAACTAAACGATTTAAATTTGTCAATCAGAAGCCAGATCAAGCATATGAAAGCAATGCACATTCAAATACAAATATTTCTTCAAATACCTCTTCACCGCAATATCATCAATATCTTGGCGAAGCAAGTGGTGCAATACCTGAATTTCCAGAAATACTTGTTGGACATGGTTCCTCTTTACCCGAAGACTGTACATTGGAAGATATAGATACCTTTCGTAGCATATATAGAGAACATTGTGAGGCATTTTTAGATGCTGTCCTAGGTTTCGAATTTCCAACTGTTGAAAGTCTTTGGAGAGAATTTTGGCGTAGTCAAAATAATAATAATGGAGATGAATGTGAAGAAGAAAAATATTTATCAAAGTAAGTAATTAACATTTGAAATATAACACAAATTAATGGAAAATAATAATAACAAAAAAATTGTTTACAATATATTAATAATTGTTTACAGGACCAAATTATATCAAATGTGTAAGTGCTCTGAAGTCCAAGATTTTATCAGGAAAGTAGATTATACGTTTTATCAAAACTTAGTGGAAGTACTAATGCCAAATGTACTAAGACCAATACCAAGTATGTTATTAGAAAAATGTATCTTTTCATTCTATATTCAATTATATTTTTTATTACATTAACAATTATTTCATTTTGTTTAGGTACTCTAACACAATCTATTCGAAATTTTGCAAAAGGATTAGAATCATGGTTAATTTCCGCCATGGCTGATTGTCCCGAAGAAATGACTCAAATTAAGGTATTAAAATAGATATATATTAAATATAATTTATAAATATAATTAATATATTTATAAATTATAAAAATAAATGATTTTTCAGTTAACAGCCGTCTCTGCTTTTGCTCAAACATTAAGGCGATATACGTCATTGAACCATCTCGCTCAAGCTGCACGAGCAGTACTTCAAAATTCTAATCAAATAAATCAAATGTTAGCAGATCTTAATCGAGTTGATTTTCATAATGTACAGGAACAGGTAAATATATTATGTATTACATAATATTTTTAAATAATTTGTATATCTTTATTGTATTAATAATTGTTAATATCATTTTATCAGGCATCTTGGGTATGTCAATGTGATTATGGTATGGTGCAACGTTTAGAGGCAGATTTTAAAGTGACATTACAGCAACAAAATTCATTAGAAGATTGGGCAATATGGTTAAAAAGTGTTGTAACGCAAGTACTCAAACCTTTTGAAGAAAAACCTACTTTTGCCAAAGCTGCCCGCCAGTTTCTACTCAAATGGTCTTTCTATAGCTCAATGGTTATTCGTGACCTTACTCTTAGAAGTGCTGCCAGCTTTGGTTCTTTTCATCTTATTAGATTGTTATATGATGAATATATGTTTTATTTAATTGAACATCAAGTTGCTATAGCTACTGGAACAACACCTATTGCGGTAATGGGTGATGTAAGTGCTTAAAATAATTTTAAAAAAGAGAATAAATTTATAGTTATTCAAGATAATTTTTCTTGAAATAAATGCTATTAAATTTATTACAGAAAAGTCAAAATTGTCCAATAATTAATAATTTTGGTGCAACCTCTAATGGCGGTAAGTGTTTACATAGAATTGTATAAATTTGTAATTATATAAACTTTTGAAAATAATAATAAATGATTTCTTTCAGATACATCTAATACAAATCAACCTAAACGTATTAAGTTGAGCTAACTGCGTGCCTACGCTCTTAAATTCGTGAGTAAAAAGATAGAAGATAAAAAGAGATTATACTTGAAATTATGGCGTACAATTGAATTTACAATAGACGTCATAATCTTATAATCACATCAAAGGTGAAGATTTTGAAATATTTAGCACGAAAGCATGCAGGCCTATTAAGACATACTAGTCCCGCGAATTATTTTATATAAAAATAAATCATAATTTACCAGAATGTCAGACAACTAAGATTTTTGCATAATATTCATATTGTATACAATTCAAGTAAATTTATTAACGATAAGTGATATAGAAATATGTAAAGAAGTAAGAAACAAAATCTTGTCTTATATGATTATAGTGACAAGTTTAACTTATTATTTAAAAACAAAAATGTTTAGTTTATTAATTTACAAAATCTAGTCGAAACACTAAATGAATGGGACCATGAATTTATCATGTCCTTTTAGCATATGTCAAACTTGTTCGATCCAGTTTTCTATAAAGAATATAAACTTACAATGATTATAAAAATAGCTTATGATAGAAGTTATATAATATTTTGGGTATTCATTAATATTTTAAGGTAAACTATTATTTTATTTATTAATAATAAATAAAATTTTGTAAAAATGAATAATTTTTAAATAGCTGATATAATCTGCTATATTGAAACAAGTATATCGAATATGTTGAATATGCATTCAATTAAACAATTAATTAAAATAAGTTAAGTACTTTTAATTTATTTTTATTCAAAGAAAACTGAATCAATCAAGTTTCTATCGAATAATTTCAAGCTATGAAAAGAAAGTGCATGGAAATAAAAGATTATAGGAAGTAGATTATTATATGGATGAAAGTCCACTATGCACAGTTTTTTGAATAATCATCTATGATTCACGAAATCCGCCCTATTGATGGTGTTGTCAAAATATTCCTACAGGAAGAGGAGTAAATTAGATAATTAAGATAGTATAAACATACATACATGTTTTAGATATGTCCTAATATGCATATTTTTTAATGCGATTTATTAATTGTACATCGAGCATCAAGATTTTGTTGAAAGATATCTATTAAAACCCATTCACATTCTCTTGGTATATTTAAACGAATAGTACAAAATGCCGATAAGTGTAGATGAAACAGAGCAACGCGATCGTTTTAATTTACTGAAAGAATAGAATGTGGTATCAAATGTATGTGTATATATATATATATATTTATATATACATAGATATTTATGTCTATATATAAATATATACATATATATAAATATGTATATTTATATCAATTACTTGGCTTATAAGAAAGTACGTGTCTGTTGGACTTTGTTTAACTATAAAACGCAATGAAAGGACACTATTATTAGTGTCTATAAACATTTTATGCATTTAAATTATTTCAAATTATAGTTAAGATAAATGTCAGTAAATATATGTTTTGTATTTGTCGACACACAAGTGTCTTTTTGCTGTATGATAGAATAATAGCTATAAGTGAATACAGTAATCCTTCCATTTACCCGAATTGACTTGAATGCTCCTAAACTATCAGAACCCAGAATTCATTATGTGAAAATACAAATTCGAAGATTTCCCGATCTAATTTATTTCGTAATTGCATAAACTTATTTGCAGTTGTATAGTGAACATTTGTAATTTAATTTAAAAAAATCGTGAGATCAATAAATAATGGCATCAACAAGGGGTACTATTAATAAAATAATTACGATAAAGGCAAGAACTTTAATAAAGGTTTAAAAATCAAATTTTTACAACAACAATTGTTGAGACAATATTTTATAGTATATAATTCTAATTACGTGGTTTTCATTTACCCGCGTAAATGGAGGGATTATAGTATTTTGAAATTGATGTTATACTTTGCTTGTTTACGTATTATTTTGAAAAGATAAATTAAGATAAACGAATAATTCCAAATATTTTCTCTATGTATTATGATTTTTATTTTTATCAAATAACAGGTTTAATCTATACTGCTTTCATATATTGGAAAATAGATCATATTTGTTATTATAAATGACATATTGACTTAGCATACACATACAAGAGGGTATATAAGTACAAAAATAATGCTTACTATTTATTAAGTAATGAACATTATTATTCGTAAAGTGCTTGAAAATTTTTAATGTAATTTTTTTGTTAAACCAATGGGTCTTTGTTTTTATACAACTTTGCATTAATGACTTTTCTTTTAATTTTGTTTTTTCTTTTTTCTTTAAATAAATTTTATTCTATTTCAATTATGGTTATAATAAGAAATTATATAATTTTTCAATCCTATGTTAATTATTTCGAAAAATTTCAAAACTTAATATATCTTCGTTAATCAGAAACATTATTTTAAAATATAATGAACTTTTGTATATGCATTTTTGTTTAAAATTATTTCATGAGCATCGAAAATTATATAAAAAAAAAAATCATTATATATTATGTATATATACATAGGTATAATTGGTACTATTTAATGTTATAACAAAAAGTTAAAAGATTATTATTTTAATGATTTGTTTTATTGCATTCCTTTTTATTACGTTATTTTCTTATTTGGTCTCGCACAAAGTTCATAGAAATTTTTTCAAAATCCAGTGAAAATTATTGTCTGCAACATATTGTACGACATACTAATGACAAAACTTTACATCCATCCATCTTTAGTATTATTTAATACATATATAGCTGGATGAGATAGACAATAATATTTCTATTAATTTAATTAACAATTCTTATGAAATTTTTATTACTTTTATTTAATTACTTAATGAAAACATTTCAGTCACGTATTTTCAAAAATTAATTTATGTAAATTACCTTTTTTTCTTGATTATTCTTTAGAGAAAAGAGATAAATAATTAAATTGAGTTTCCTGGATATTTATTTTCAATTATTTTGTCTTTTTATTTTCTTTGTTTGTTTTTTACTACACGAATTTAAAAAGGGCTGAAATTTAAAAAAAATATTCTCTTACTGCAACATTCATGAAGAACATTACTATACACACTAAGTGCATTATAATGTATCCTGTATAATATTATGTATAAAATAATGGTGTTAATACTTGCCAAGTTTTATGAACATTTTCTTATAAGTATTGGTAGTTACTATTTTATATGTAAAGCGACTTTTTTCACCTATAATCAAATAATATGGGTTTATGCGTGGCTTATCATGCAATGAATGATACTTAGAAAATTTCATTTAATATGAGAGAAAACAAACTTTATTTTGATTAACTTTCAAGCACTGTTAACACGTAAAGATACATACTTTTAAAAACAAACTAGATGTTTGGCTGAACATGGTGCCTTTATTTTATAAAAGAAGAAACATATTTAAGCATTTTTTTACCATATCATATAATTATATAAATAATTCTACAATTTATCAAACCGATTAATACAAAAACATAAAGGCATTTTTCTTTGAAGTTTCTTTAAATTGCATGATAATCTTTTATCATAAATTGAAATTAGAGAAAAAATGATTAAGCTTTTTTTCTAATAATCATGAGAAAAATAATTGTTTCAATGAAAGCAGAAAATTATATTATTATAATGAACTAATATTATAAATAATTACAGACTTTTCATACAAATATATCTTCCAAGTTCTAATTTATTATACTTATGTTAATAACTAAAAGGTACTAAATATGGATTTTAATATTATATTGCAGTATTTGGATAGTAGTATGAATAAAAATAAGGTATATCTATTTATTGTATAGAATCAATACATAACTAGTCAAACTTCCTAGACATAAGCTATGAAACAGGGATTGAGTATTACATGCAGTACATCGATGATAGATTGTGCATAAAATATTTATGCAAGTGGAAAGAACAAATATTTCTATAATTATGAGCTTATAAATATAAAACTTATAGATACTTATACCATAGATACTTACGTGTAACTATTGTGAGAACTGCTTTATCAAAAATTTCTATTTCCATTATTATAAACATGAAAGATGTAACATGTCTATGGAGATATAAAAAAGTGCATCAATAAATATAATCTATTATTTAAAATGGAAAAAGAATATATATATATATATCAATATACTATTTCATTTCACAATATTCTGTTAAAAATATATCGAAGTATGAAATAGAAATACTAACATCTTATGCACTGTCATATATCTCTCTTAGGCTGTTTCAATATTGAAATAATTTTGCAATTTTTATGTTTCAAGTTAAAAGATATTATTAAACATAGCCTTTTTGCGATTAAGCTAATACATGATCAAAATCAATACTGTTTCCTTCGTTGCGAAATAAGTAAAATGGCCTTAAAAACTTTTCCAATTTAAAAACGTGAAGGAATTTGCTGTGTTGTTAAATGAGGGCATTGAAAAGAAAGAAAATTACGGAATAAAAACTGAAAACAAGAAAAACAAGGAAACTGTTTTTCTCTTATGACATATAGAAAATATTTTGATACCTTCAAAGTTGCACAAAACAAGAATCATTCATTACTGCTTAAATAAGATTATTTTTACTGAATGTTGCTTGAAATGACAACTTATTATGTGTGAGATATAAAGAACTCTAAGAATTGTGTGAATGTGTGGATCACAAAAATTAAATAATAAATACATATATGTTTAAAACTTATATATAAATTAAATCCTGTTAAAGAATCTAATCCCTGTCGCTATAATTTCATATTTACTCCTATTTGTTTAAAATTTAATTCATTGCATTATATCAATTTAACATATATCTTATACTTCATTTTTCCCTTTAATTGGATGTAATTTATTTGTTTAAACATCATTTCTTGTAATTACTTTATTTAACAAAAGTGATTTGCACTTATATAGGTATATAGATATAGCAAATTTTCGATGCATTGGTTTCTTTATTTTTATTGAAAGATTAAGGTTATGTATTGTCCTCATATACATATGTAGTGTACATTGAACAGGTATTTAACTTTAGTCAAATTTGTCTCAGACAATAGAACAAATTAATTATTTACGATTTAGTATTATTAAATACATATATTTATACGAGAACGTTTAATTATACATTCTGTAGTTATAAAATAATGAATACGTTCTTTCATTTACGAAAAATAATTAAACAGATGTCACAGAAGATTTTTAGGTTAACATATTTTATAACAGTATTGCAATATTTACATAGACATTTAATGCTATAACTTTAACAATAGCTTTCCAAAGATTATTTTAGAATATTATTTTTATAACTTTTTAAACGTTTTAATTAGCTTCGTGTTTTTGCATTGTTTAATGAAGAAAAATTGACAACATTTGACATAACGAAATATCGTGTCATATTACGTATACATTTAAAGCTTATTAAATATTTTACAGTATAAAATATTTGTGTATTAATAAACAATTTAATAAATTATACACATATATTTTGATCATTTTATATAATATATAATAATATGTATTTATTGATTTAATGACACAAATATTTTGTACAATTATATTCTCCTTTATCCTTTTTATGTATATATAAAAGAAAATTTATTTTAATGAAAATTTATTATGTCAATAATAAGATTTAACAATTAAAATTATTTTTTAATTAGATTAACTTCAATTACCAGTACAGGATGACATCAGAAATTGGTAAGTTTGTTGAAACTCTGGTAAAAGATGAACAAAAAGATTTAGTATCATCAGTAGAAGATAAACATGTTGATATAAATAAAAAAGAAGAAATTGGAGTTCAGCCTATGCCTAGTGTTAAGAATCTTACCAAGGAGTTACTTTTAATTGAATCAGAAAAAGATGATATAACAAACCAGGAATCTACGATGACAAACACTAGTGTTGAACCACTGAATATTAATTCTATTCATAACAATAATAGAACAAATATTGAATGTTCAGATAGTGATGTAGTTATTAATAGTGATTCAAATGGTTAGTATAATTATTTTAATTAAAACTATATTGTAACATTGCATGACTAACATTATAAAATAATAACAATATCTTCGATTTTTTTTCAAATTTTATTCTATTATTTGTATACATTAAATATAGTAAAATATATTTAATGGTTATGTTGGCAAATTCTTTAAACGGTTATTTGAGATAAGTAGTATTTTAAGGTTTCAAAAGAACAAGGCTTCTTTAATTCAATTAATCATTTCACATTCAAACTATTACTACTTTAGTTGATAGATGGAACCGTAATCATTAATATAATTGTAAATTAGTGAATTCAAGATGCCATCATATAATAGAAATAAACGAAAAATAAAAAAATATCAAGGTAATCTTGTTAGTGTATAATGGAGATTAATCTTTGGAATATTTTCAAAATATATAACGATTATAGTTTTAATATCTTCTACATTCAATGTCAAACTATTTCAGAATGTAATACGTCCAATATAGATCCAGCTATTGAAAATAGCGACAATCAAAGAGGATCTGTTAATCCATCCGTAAAAGAGTATGATGAAGATATTGATAATCATTTACCAGACACTGTAACATTACTTAGAACACCAAACGGTGGAAAACTATATTTAATAGGAACAGCGCATTTTAGTATCGAAAGTCAAAATGATGTATCAAAGGTACAGAAACTATATATTTTATTTTATTTCATTTTATTTTATAGAAATAAGTATATAATATTTTATTTATAATTGCAGATAATACAAGCTGTACAGCCTCATATAGTTGTTGTTGAACTGTGTAGATCCAGAATTGGTATGTTACAGCTCGATGAACAAGTTATGTATCGTTATACTAAATATCTGAGTTTTAGTAAGTCTTTTTTAAACTATTACATAATGGGACTTACTAGAATTTTATAAATGATTAATTATTTAAATATATTTATAGGAAGTATTCGGGGTACTCTTAAAGAGTACGGTTTATATAACGGATTACTAAATATCCTCCTACTAAAGATGGTTGCTCATATCACTAAAGAACTTGGAATGGCACCTGGTGGTGAGTTTCGCAGAGCTTTTGAAGAGGTATGTTGTTAAATACTTATATATTATTATATAGATAAAATCTTGAAGCTCTTAGATATTAAATAAATACAATACTGACTTTAGGCAAAAAAAGTTCCATATTGTATGTTTCACATGGGAGATCGTCCAATCAATATAACTATTCATCGTGCAGTCAGATTTTTATCTTGGTGGCAAACAATAAAATTAGCATGGCATTTAATAAAGATGAAGGATCCAATTACTAAAGAAGATGTAGAACTTTGTAAACAAAAAGCTTATTTGGATGAAATGGTTGCTAAAATGAGTGGAGAGTTTCCAGTAATAGGAGAGGTATTTGTTAAAGAACGGGATATCTATTTAACATATTCTCTTCAATTAGCTTGCATGCCTCAATACATTCCCAAGGGTATTGGGCCAGCAAGAGTTGTAGGTGTTGTTGGCATGGGCCATATACCAGGCATCGTTGAAAATTGGTGTAAAGTTCAACCTTCTGATATACCACCTCTTATGAGGTATACATGATTATATAATAATTGAAAATTTTAACTTTATTTTATAGATGTAATATAAAACTATAAGTTTAATTTATATTAAATCTCTTATTTTTCAGTATACCACCATTATCGTTATCAAGTAAAGTGTTAAAATTTACATTCAAAGCATCTTTAGTAGGTGCTATCATTTATGTAGGATATAAAATTATACCATTTGCTTCTATCAAGTCATCGGTTCAGGGACTTATAAAGGTTAGTGTAGAATAGTAAACTAATAATATTGTTTCTATATTTCTATACTGTAAAAAAAGATTTTTATTGAAAAATAATTTTCTTTTCTATTTTATGCTGCTTTTCTATCTTTCTTTTTCTCTCTCTATTTTTTTTATCACTCTCGAAGAATTTATCGTCTTTCTTTGGATTTTATATTGATATTAATATATGGTAAGCATGGACCTTGATTTTTGTATAGATAATTATACTCATGACATATCTGGTGTCATGTATGTTACTAATAACATACCTGGTCCAGGTATAAATGTGGATGATTTTGAATCTGTATTTACGTCAGGTTGTTCATGTACATTAGAATGCTCAGAGTGTACTTGCACTCGTGGTTCTGCTAATTATATAAATGATTGTATTATTGAAGAAAAATTATCAGTACCAATTCTAGAATGTAATCCTTATTGTACATGCAGTCAGAATTGTGGTAACAGATTGGTACAGCGTGGTCCATTAAATACTCTTCAAGTAATTAATGTTGATAAAAAAGGTTTAGGTCTTATAACAACGAAATTCATAAGAAAAGGGCAATTCATTTGCGAATATGCTGGTGAAATAATAGGCATAGATGAAGCAAGGCGCAGGGTCGAAGCTAATAAAAATGACAATAGTATGAATTATGTTCTTGTAGTTTCTGAACATATAGGAGAACAAGTAATTGTAACATGTGTAGATCCAAAATATTTTGGCAATATTGGAAGATATAGTAATCATAGCTGCCAGCCAAATGCTAATCTTGTACCTGTCAGAGTTGAAAGTGTTACGCCACGATTATGCTTATTTGCATGTAGAGATATACAAAGTGGAGAAGAAATTACTTTTAACTATGCCAGTGGAGTGACAAATTCTATTAATGATTTAAGTGATACACCTTGCTTTTGTGGTTTCAGCAATTGTTTGGGTTATTTACCACATAATTCTATTTAAAATATGCAAAACACTTTTAAAATATTAGGTATAACAGTTAATTTGGTGTCTTTTTACTATTATTTTTTAAAATAGTCTCTGACTGTGAATATATATATATATATATATATATGATATATTTATAATAGAATTAATGATATTAATTCTATCTCTTATTATGATATCTAAAGGTATCATAAAGAAATGAATGTCAAGGTACCGAATTAATTGCAACACCTAATAAAATATTACAAATATCATTAAAAGTAATTGTCACAGATTTAATGATACTTTGTAGATTAATCATAATCAAACGAATACATAAAATTTGTTAACTAATTTTATGAAACTATTAAAATTTTGATTACAAGGTTTCATGTTTCTAAGTAAAAATTGTAAAGACCCTTTTTTATATGCAGTTTAAAATATTTCTTATTTAAACGGAAGCTTATTAAAAATATTTCAATATAATTATTTTATAATTACAATTTTATATTATGTTAATTATTAAAAATTATTTAATAATTTATAACTAATTTAAAATTAAATTTTTTGTGTTACAATTTGTTAAAATATATATACATAAATATCATATGAGCTGTTTACACGTCACAGCGATTATATAATACTACTTTTAAAATAATTTTAAATTTTCATAATAAAGTTTTTGTGAATGTGATTGGTTCTAAATTTTTATATTTAAAATAAATGTCCTTAATAATTAGGCTTAAAACTATACAAAAAAAAATTTGTATAGATGTAAATAGTAAATGATACAACAATGCATATTATTTTATCAATTTTTATTTTTTGTTTTGTAAAATTAATCGATTGACAAATGAATGGCTCATATCAGAGATAAATTTTTTTCCAGAATTCATTGTTATGTGAAGTTTTATATTTAAGTAACTATATAAGATAATTTGTATAAGTAGTTATTATCAAAATATATTTTTAATAGTAACGAGAACAATTTTTTAGTAATGCAATATTATTCAATTGACATCACAGTTTATTTTTGGTTTGGTAATGTTGTAAAATATAATTTCTTTATAAAATGATATGATTATTTATGAAATAAAATTGCCATTAATTATTAAATACTGTTCCACATAGTTATATTAATTAAAATTAATAGTAAATTAATTATTTTTTTATTATATCAATACTTCTATTGATTTTAATTAATATTAATTAAAATTTAATATATAATTACAAAACAGATTATATATTCTAGATTATATATTCAAAATCTTTAAGATTGAACATTTGATTTTGCATATACGTTCCTAACTTATAATATTGTTTTACATTCGATAGTTTAATAGACGTCTTTTCATTTTTTCTATATTGTTAGCATAGTATATGCATGCACATGCATTTTATAAGTGCTACTTGTTGGTAAGTTAATGTGTAATTAATGGCAGTATATATCTGATAACTTTTTAAATATAATGAAAAGGATCTGTAAATTATATCTTACATTCATTAATTTTTTATGGTATCAATAAATAAATATAAAATTAAAAACATTACTAATTCCACTATATTATAATAATATGAACGCCATACATATTCATCACGCATTATGTTTGAAGTGTTATCTAAAAGCATAGCTTTTGTTTAGGAATTTTCATACAATCAACAAAATAAAAGTAAACTTTCTATGGTTTAGCTGATTTTTTGTTTAACAATTGTTGAAATTGGGAAATGCATTACAATCTTTTTTTAACTTCTATAATATAATTCATTTAAAACATCTATCTAATTTTCAATGGCATTTTAATGTATTTGAATTGGAGATGGCTGTTCTTGTGCCTCATTACTAAATCTCCATCTCCACCAAGTAACTTTCATACGGTCCCAAATATTTTGCCAAGAGTCCATGGCGGGTCTTACATCAAGAAGAGCAAATTTATATTTTTCATCCACTGCTCCACCATCATAATAGTCAATAACATAACGTACATCTTTACCACATCTATCAACGATCCAATCATGACGATCAAATGGCAATTCATATCTGAAAAAGTATGTCTGTGTTAAGTAAAAATGATTTTTATTAATTAAAATAAATAATATTCATACCCTAGCCAATATCGAATGCGTGCACGTGGTGAATAATGTTTAGCTTTTCCACCAAAACTGCGTAACTTGGGACAATTGCATTCTCGTGCATGAAGCGCTTCCCATTTAAGAACTTCTTGCCATGCTTGCTCATTATTAGCATTATGAATTTTAATAATATCGTCCATATCTTTAGGATTTATGTCATCATTTTTCCAACGCCATCCTTTTCTTAACATAGCATTCCAAAACATTTGTTGTGATGGATAAACCCAAAATTCATTATTTCCAGTTGCTTTTGGTATAGATGAAATTTGTCGATCAGTTGGCAAAGGAAATGGTTGATCTGGTGCTGGATTTTGATTTTCAGCTGGCATCTGTAATATTAATTTTTGTTATTAATAATTTAATTTCTTTCAATTGTTACTTATATTCAATTTTATTATATACCAGGTGTTAAACGTACCATGTTAAGAGGATTTATTTCATTCTCATTCGTATGATCTATTGGACATTCCGACTTAGATGTTTTGGGTGGCTGTTGATTTACTTTTGTATGCATGGGACATTCCACTGGAGGTACATTTTGAAGTTTTTCTGATTCATTTATTATAGACTTAGTCAACTGTTCATTATTACTATGCTGTATTGGCATAATTACATCAGCCGCTGATACAGATGCAGTATTCAATGTATTCCCCATTATTTCAGTTATATTTTTACCTTCATATATACAATGTCAATATATATAGCTATAATTAGTAAAAAATATAAGTTACATTAGAATTAAGAAATAAAAGTTATATTTATATGTAGTATATATGATTCTAATAATATAAAATACTTTTATATATGAAGATTAATACGAAAAAAAGGTATTTAGTTTTTATAGTAATTTCAATTAAATTAAATGTAAATGTAAAATGTCATGTAAATTATGCAATTCTAACCCTAAACGATATAATATTCGTTTTAGGTTAAAAATTTACAGTAAAAAATCATATTTTAAATCAATATATTAGATATATATAAATTAAATATTTTATAATTCTATATATTTTGAAATTTATATATTTAAATTTGTAATTCGTATTTACCTGTAAAATTATATTGTATTATTAACTTCGTATTCAGCAGATAACTTAAAATATCTCAAGCGCTGCATTCGTTATACTGAATAACGATGGTCAATAAATGAATGACAAATAATTGTCATGTAATTAACAAAAACATTTGACATTTTCAAATTTTATATTTAATAGTTTATTAATGGTCAAACACATTCATGTCAAATCTAATGAATAGCTATTATCAAACAGTTTTATTTATATAATTATATAACCACAGATATTACCAAATTTTAGAAAGCTTTTATTCATCCTATTAATTTACTGAATAATATTATTATTTTAAAATTGTTATAATTTTTATAATTAAATTTTAAATAAATTATAATATGTGTAAAAAAAATAAAATATTTACGTAAATTAATATACGAGTCAAAGAGGAAGTAAAACACCCGCGTAATTTAAATCGATATTTTTGTTGGTAATTCGTTTTTGTCAACTAATTTCATATTTATTATATACTAAACACTTATTATAACATTTATTATATATTTAACACTTCAGAGTTTCTATTTATTCTATAATATTACATAATTTTTTTAATGGTTTTATAAATTAACAACATGGTAATATTATTGTATTAATTTCTTACTTATTTTACAATTAACATATATTTGCAATTAAATGTTTTCTTAGATTAACAATTTTTATCATTTTTCAGTCTAAAATAAAGCAAAACTTTATAAATGACGAACCATATTTTACATGTTTTTGTAAAAAATATACAAATAACACAAGAAATTTAGTATTAAAAGGAAAAGATTTGATTACTAAAATAGGGTAAATATATTTTTAAGAAGAGTATTCATTAATATTTCTTAAAGAGATAGTGTTTGATCATTTATAAATTTGATATTTTTTGAATGCTAGTAAACAACTAGAAGATTCGGATATAAAGATTTTGTTGATATTTCTCAAACAAAATCAAGACATTGTTTCTCTTAACTTAGCGTACAATCAAATCACCTGTGTCGGCTTCAAAATGTTGATTACTTACTTTCTTGTAAGATAGAATAAAATTGTAGTTTAATAATTTTTAATATTATAAGAATATTATTTTAGCTATATAAAAATATATACAAGTTGAATATTCAAAATAATAATATAATGGAAGCAGGAATTAATTATATGTGTGAAATAGGAGAAAATTTACACATTAAAAGTCTTCAATTAAACGGAAATAAGTTTGGTGTTGAAGTAATTTTTATTATTGTTCCTCTATTTCTTTATAATTATATTAAATGAATCTTAAATATAAGATAACAATAATTGTTGCAGTCTTCCAAACAAATAGCATTACTGTTACTGAAAAATCCATATTTAGAATATTTGGACGTAGCAGAAGTTGATCAAACTATTTCAAGTTTAATATATTTTACAACAGTTATGAGATTGGATCAGCCTTTACATAATGAAACTTTAAAAATTTTAAATATCAGTCGTCCAAATCCAGGATGTATGTATTATTTTAATGCGGAACAATTTGCAACTTTAATTGGACATATGTTAAGAGTAACTTTGTATATTTTATAACATTTATTTCTTTTTATACATTTTTCTTACTTTACTATGGTTACATTTTGTTTGTACAGAATAATACTTGTTTATTTGCATTGCATTTACAAAAATGTAGTTTTTATTGCCATGACATTGAATGTATCATGCTTAATGCACAGTATAATCATACATTACTTTTCCTTGATCTTGGTTGTAACAATATAGGAGATCATGGAGTACATCATCTTGCTAATTGGCTTATAAAAACTTCTGCTTTACATGGACTTATTTTGAGTAAAAACATTATAACTGATCATGGTGCAAGGTAATAAGATGATTTGCTACGTTTAAATTTTAATCTTATTATTTATTACATTATTTCTTTGTTTAAGGATAATAAGTCATGCTATACCATTTTCTAAGCTAAAATATTTAGATATTTCATTTAATAAAATTACTGATGACGGTATGGTAAATATTCTTAACACTTTACAAAATATTTCTCTCATAAAAAGCTTGCGAATATTTGGAAATGTTCTTGGTCATATGACTGCTAAGGTACATAACATAATCTTTCTCCTCTTATTTGATTATTTTATTATACATTTATCTTGAATTCGCAGACTTTAGAGAGAATATTATTATCAAAAGTTTTATATCAGATAAATTTGGATGTCAAGCCATTTAAAGTAGATGATAACTGGTATTGTGCTCAGTATCCAATAGACTGTTCTAAAGAACATTTATATGAAATAATAGAACTCTTTAAACCCTGTATGTAGTAAATTCAATGAAAAAAATAGAAAAAAGGTTATTGAATAAAAAATGTATTACTAACTTTTTTTTTTTATAAAATATGTATTGATGCATTTATATATACTACCGTTAAAAAAATTTTTTACAATAGACATAATTGGTATATTTTACATTAATGTTGCTAATGTGCTATTTTAAACCACACTTTTCCACACTTTTTATCATTTTGTTATATCAATTATCCAAGTATTAACTGTACCAATTGTTGCTTAACTTTTGCAACCATACGAGAACTACTAAGTTTTTGAAGGCATTATCGTTTCATTAAAAAATTTGATATTTTTGTACAATTTTTTACAAGATCAAAAGCACTTGAATAGGATAATATTATTTCTTTTAGATTCTTAAGTTGAATTATAGAATTTTTGTGCTTTTTTAGATTTTTCTTTTTATATCTTACCATTGTTATCATTTTATCTAAGACGTAATGTAACCATAAAACATTTGTATATGGCTCAAATTCTTGCCAATTATTACTGGAACAAATAACATTAACATTAATTTTAACATTATTTTTATATTATTACATAAGATGTTAATTTATATATGTACTTACAATACTTTATCTCTCATAAGACGATAAATATCAAATTGATATTCACCTTGAGCGGTAAATAAAGCAGGATCTGATGCTAAATCATTGAATATGCAACACCCTTCATAAGACATTCTTGAAAGAGTAAAATCTATAATACATACCTTTAGGAAAATAAAAATATAAGTTTTTTATATTCAATATAATTTAATATAGAAATTATTGTAAATATATGATAAATTTATTCTATAAACAAAAAAAACATACTTTTATACCATTACTTGGAACTAAAATATCTTTATTATCGAGTGTATAGTTTATGTATTGTTCATCCGTTCGAGAAATTAGCACATTCCCCCAATGCAAGTCTCTATGTTCAAATTTAAGTGATCTTTCAGCAATCGCTAATGCTAATGTAGTCTATAAAAAAAGATAATATTTAATTAATAATAAAGATTATAAAGAGTAGTACTAGCTATTATATATATTCCATATAAAGATTTTTCTTTATTTATTTAAAGTTATTGATAATACCTGTATAAACAATGTATGTGTTTCTTCAGCTGTTTCAAATACGAAAGATTCAAGATTCTCACCACCATGACCAAGTTCAAAACAAATGTAAAGTTGCTTTTCATCAAATATTGATGGACAATCATTTTCAGATCTTTTTTTTTCATCATAATACTTCCATAAGTCTATCATTTCTTCAGGATACTTTCCTTGAATGCATTTAATATTTTTCACTTCGACAAATCCATTTGTGCTGTGCCTTTTATTGAATCTTAAATTATGTAACTCTCTAAAAATTGTGAAATTAATATTAAGTTGTTAACATAAACTTAAAATAAATTTTACAGGAAAATAATTAGTAAGAATTTGAGTCATACTTTGCAATAACGATTTCTGAGAGTATTTCATTAAATTTCTTTTGTGATTCACCATTAACTAATTGATCACCTTCTATAGGTATAATCTTTAAAACAGATTTTTGTCCATCCTTTTCATGAAGAAATACTTCTCCGTAGACACCTTCTCCTATTTTTTGACAAAATTTCAAATACCTATTATCAGAAATGAAAAGTATTTTATTCATTAATAAAATATTCATTTAAATAGAATAATATAATTTGAAATTTACTCACGATGTTGAAAACATTTCTGTAAATGGTAGATAATTTTGTTGAGAACATTTTTGTAAAATAACATCTTTTGCTGTTTTTGATAAAGGAATTTCAACAAAATTACTTTCCACGTGATTAGTTTGAGTACTGTATTCAGTGTCACGATTATTTTTCGGTAATGTAAGTCTATTTTTTATGTTAGTTTCAATTCCAAATACTTCAAGAAATGAAGTATCGCTAGCATTTTTGATAATTCTACTATCACGCACGACACGAATAGAAGTTCTTTTAGGAAATCTTTGTGAATTGCCAGACTGATTTGTATCACATATATCAGTCAATTGAGATTTATCCAAATATTCATCTACTTCTGAATATTTTGAATAAAAGTCTGTAAATAAATACATTACTTTAATTGTTATATTAAGCTAATAATATCTTATTTTTGTGACTTTACTTTAAAGTAACATTTTCTTGAAAAAATACGTATACGTGTATACATATATATACATATATATACATATAAATATTTGAAACTTAAGTTACCCTTTTTCTGCATATCTAATATATCCTTGACACTATGTCTCCATCTTTTACCTTTTTGAATAGATATTCTATTTAAATTTAATCCATTTTGAAAGTTACATAAAATGGATAAAGAACGTGCCCAAGATTTTCCTGGTTTTAAAAATATAGACTTTTGTGATAAAGCAGGTATTTCTTTGTTGATTAATGAATTTCGTTCATCACAATGTGTAGTAATATTTACAGAATTATTAGCTGAGTCTTTTATAGTATTTTCACTCAAAATATCTTCATTTAATTTCTCATTAAATGTTTTCATTTTACTTTGTGAACATCGATTAATATCAATTCCATCTTCATAAATATCATTTAGTTTGTATTTTTCTTTTCTTTCATGTTGTTGTCTTCTTTTAGTAATTTGTACGGAATTTTTCAATTGAGTGAATATATGATTTTCATTCATTAATTTGTTAGAACTTATTTCTTCCATATCTTCATCTTCATTCTTAATATATTCCATAATGGGTTGTAATTGTTGCTTTGTAATTGTTATAGGTGGTAGCTCTTTTTCCTAAAATTAAAATATAAAAACTGTGTAATATAAACTATCTAATATTCATCACTAAAAATTAGCTAACTTTCTTTTTCTACCTTTAATACTTCTGATGTAATTATTTCTTCGGTATTATCCTTATCTAAAGTAATAGATTCATACTTTAATTCAGTATTAGCATTACTTTCACATACATTCGTATTTATAAATGATTTTTTTGTTATAGCACTCATTCTGTTGTCATCTTCCGAAGTATGTAATTTATTTTCATAATCATCAAATAAAGAAAGTGACCTACTATGTGTTTCTGTGGAAAAATTGATATGATTCAATAATGGTTTATTTTCCTGCTGTGTTTCATCATTCTTTTGTCTTAATGCAATATCAATGCTATCATCTATAAATGTTGTAGCATATGCTTCTCTATTATTGATAAAATTTAAATTTTGTTTAGAATTTACTAAATTTAATATTTCTTTTTCTTGTTCATCAATTTTAATACCATCATTAGTTGAAAAATTATCATTTGATGTTGATGTTTCTTTGTCTTCCATATATGAAATCTTATCCTTTGTATCTGATTCAACATTGATGAAAGTATTTGTATTTGTCTGATTTAATACATGCAAATTGTTTGGCTGTAATGGATCAAATGATGTAGAAATATGAGATATAGAAACTGTTTTATCTTCATCGCTATGATTAATATTTTTTGTTAAAGACTCAATATTAATTGGTGAATAGCAAAGAGAATATGCATTTTTTCTATTATGTATATTAATAGGTGTACTACTTGTTGGATTTATTGTAGAATCCTTATTTATCTTTTTTAAATTTTCACTGTGATTTTTGAAATTATTTATAGGTGATTTAAATTCGCTATCTATAGAAGTATTGATTGATATTTTTATTAAACTTACAGAACATCTCTTTATTTTGTACTTGCGTTTATTAATTATAAAATTATTTTTTTTTACATCATCTTTGTGCAGTACTACAGAACAAGGTTTAATTTTAAACTTTCTCTTCATTGAATCAGAAATATCATGCGATACTGATGACGTTAAAGAAAGGTTTTCATTATTTTTATGGCTCATATTTTTCTTTTTTTTAGTAGACTTTAATTGATATATTTTCTTTCTACTATTATTAATTTTTGCATTATCAGTAATCTCTCTTAAAGGACTAAGTGGTTTATTGCACAAATCAATATCATCTTTTTGATTACTGTTGTAAGAGGCAACATTATTGTTAACAATGTTCTCATTATTAGTCTGATTATTAACATCAGTATTAAGAATATCCGACTTATATAGTTGAAGACTAGAATTTTTAAATACAAAATACGAATTTCCTTTTTCGTTGGACTCGTTTTGTTTTTTCTTAATTGTTTTTTGAATATTTTTTACCTTCTTAGTCTTGTAAGTCTAAAAAGAAATAGAAGTAAACATTCAACAATTTTGCAAAATGACCATCAATCATATTAATTGATATAATTGTTTAAAAGTACCTTAGTCTGATTTGTTTTCTTAACTTTTCTTATATTTTTGCTATGCTGTGAATTATTTAAAGTTCCTTTAACGGATGTTTTTTTATTCTTGGGTTGAACTTTTTTTTGATACGATTGCGTTTTTACATTTTTTTTCCGTTTCACATTTGGACTAACATCAAAAATAGGATTACTAAATGAAATATGAAATAAAGATTGACGATTTTCTTCTTCACTATTCATATCAGAACTACTACCACTCCACGAGTCATTGTTAATACAATCAGGTGGTATTGCTGGTACTCTATATAAAGAAATAGTATATGTGAAATTTTATGTGAAAAACAAATAATGATTTAATAACTTACACTGCATCCTTAGCAATTCTATCAAATGTTGTTTCAAAAGGATCATAATCCAATGAGCCTTCACTATCTTTATTTCCCTTAAAATGATCAATTTCATGTTGTTTTTTAATAATGTTATCAGTTTTTGATGTTAAATCTAGTTTAACAAAGTCATTAAATTTTTTTAACGAATTTGCAGTATTTTTCTTTTGATATGTACGTATAGGTTTCCGTATCATTATAATTTATATTTAAAGAGTATTCTATTAATTATTACTTTACTATCGTGTTAAAATATAAACAAGTCATAAATTATATATATATATACTACATTATTCATAACACTTTTCTTTGTTTTAAGCAAATTTAAATTTTTGAATGTTTTATATCATAGATTATATTAAAGCAAGTACATGTGGTGTCTCAGCCACCTCCCGCTAGTAACATCAGAGGGAAGCACAAAAATCAGCAGAGTAGGGATCCTGGAGGAGGGACACGCTATACACATTGCTGAGGGACAGGAACTCGTATAGTCACGTGATTGCGCGCGAATGATTCAACTAACCACAGCCGTTAATACATACTAAAAATAAACATGACTGCGCGATGCAACGGAAGCTGTCCCCCCACATTTTCAACCTAGCAATGTGTATGGCGCGTCCCTCCTATAGGGTCCCTACAGCAGAGTGCACATGAGTACGATTGACCAATCACATTTCACTAAAATCACCAATACAAATGCTTAGCAGAAAACATATCGACGGTGTGTACAGTCTTAACAAATCAAGGTAATATTCAGTGACAAATGACAAGTGCTGTGTCGTTTATTTAATAACCTCAATAATGCATTGTGATCTATTATATTTTTTTAAATATTGAATATAAAAATAGATATATAAATAACTATATCATAAATTTAACAATGGATTCTTATATAATCCAGGTAATTTAACATGCAAATATTAAAAAATATAAAACAAAAATCATAACATTAAGGTTATATTTATATTATTTTAGTTACGCCGAATGTGGGTAAGCCAGGATGGAGATGCATTAGCAGTAAGTAATTTCTCATTTATTTTGAAAAAATATGATAGTATATCTCTTAATTAATAATAATAATTTTTTTAAAGGATCTACTTTCTCTTAGACATAATCATATTTTAATACCTAATATCGGATCAGAAACAGCTATGACAAAGGCAATGGAACATTTATCTGCTCCTTTCGATGATCTAGTACTTTATCATCTCAAGTATTAACATTTTTTTCTATTATGATTATATAAAAATAAAATAAAATAACAAATAATTAACATTTTTATTGATAGGACTATAGCAGCAATAAATAAAAATGATCCTTTTACAATGTACACTAACCAAAGTTCGGCAGTTCAATCTTTAACTAAAATTCTTCAAATACAGAAGGAAGAGAATTGGATGCTAAGAGTTATGAATGTAATGTGTTTAGAGTTAAGATTATTAGCAGTTCGTACAGAAAGTTCAACATCAAATAGAAATATGAAACCCGGTGAGGTTCTTGAAAAATGTGCCGAATGTTTAATGGGTTGTTTTAGAGTATGTGCTGCTGATAATCGTAGTTCAGAATATGATACAAAAAGATGGGGAATGTTGGCATTAGTTAACCAGCTTTTAAAAGTTTACTTCAGAATTAATAAATTACATTTATGTAGACCTTTAATAAGAGCAATAGAATCATCTCCATATAAAGATCATTTTGCATTAGCCCAACAAATTACATATAAATTTTTTGTTGGTCGTAAAGCTATGTTTGATAGCGATTACAAAACTGGTAAGAATTCTGTTTTATTATAATCAATTTATCATAATGTTTTATTCTAATCAATTTTAAGTTGTTTATTTTATTTTAGCTGATGCATATTTGACATATGCATTTGAACACTGTCATAAGCATTCTCTAAAAAATAAAACATTAATTTTAACGTACCTTGTACCAGTTAAAATGTTGCTTGGATATATGCCAAAAAAATCTCTATTAGAAAAATACAACCTAATGGAATTTTGGGAATTAGTGGAATCCGTAAAGAAAGGAGATTTACGTAGTTTAGAAAGAGTAATGACAAAGCACGAAACGTTTTTCATTGGTGCTGGAATATACTTGATTGTTGAAAAATTAAAATTAATTGCATACAGAAATCTATTTAAAAAGGTTTATCTTGTATTAAACACACATCAAATACCAGTTCAAAGTTTACTTTCTGCGTTGGAAATGCATGGCATTGAAGACGTAGATATGGATGAAACAGAATGTATTGTTTCAAACTTAATATATGAAGGAAAAATAAAAGGATATATATCTCATCAACATAAAAAATTAGTTATATCGAAACAAAATCCATTTCCTATATTGTCTACGATACTATAAAGACTGTTAATATTATTGTGTTATTGATATATACTAGCCAATAAAAAGATGTATAAAGTATATTTATATGAAAAATCTGTATGTGAGTTTTTTTAAATCCATTTTTATAGAGAAAAATTGTTTAAATAGAGTAGAGTAATATTAAGGTACTATTTAATTTTTAAGTTACACTTAATTAGGATAATTATTACAATAAGAATCTATATACATTCATAGAAAGTGATACATTATTATGTAAAGGTGTTTTTATGTCTAGATCATTTTTAAAGAACAAAGGATTTGCTTTAAACAAAAAATTGTGTTCCTTTAACCTTTTAGTTACTGTACACCAGTATAGTGCTCCACTATATTGGATCATTCGTTCATTTTCTATTTAAAACCCTGTACATTATATATATCTATATATGTCATGAAAACGGTTTTATATATAAAGAATAATAATAGAAGATAATTTAATTAAAATTCATTGCTTGTAAAGTCACGTGCATGTCTGTTTTAATTTTCCAAAATTATCGTATCGGTTCCGCGCGTTTTAAATTTGCATATTACTTGTGGAGTCGGTTGAATTCAAAAGATCAATTATGTAAATTATGTGTAGTTGCCTGTTTTCAAATGTGTCCCAAAATAATGGTTGTATTACTAACTATTAAAATATATTTATTCGTATTATATTATTGAAATATATTAAATATAAATATACATATAAAAAATGTTAAAAGTAACTCAATTATAATATTTATTTAAATGTAAGTTTGAAAACATATATCAATAGTGGAAAAAGGATGAAAGACCGATTTCGATACTAATGTCGTTAATGCGCAGTCAGCGACAGAACTCAGAGCACAGAGATGCCGCTCCGCATTTAGTCTCGTCGTAGTTAAGAGGTTAAAACCTAATGAACATTGTATAGTATTCATTTTTATTCGAAGCGTGATTTATTTTATTTATAGGAAAGGAAGTGTGATTACGAGTTTGTCGACATATCCGGCGATAAAAATTCGTTTACAAAATGCCAATTTAAGTGGTGAAAACGACATGCTATCGATTGAAAGCCTGATTGGTTAAGCCAGTGTTCGATGCAAGTATGGCCGCCCTGCCATCACCCACGCAGGTAAATCTTCATTTTTATATATCTATCACGGTATAATATTATTTTTATTATCCCTATAATATAGAAAATAGTTCTTTATAAAAGATATTATCTGTTAACAAAATATATCATCTAATAATACGAGATATCCTGCAATACTTTTGATTGATTTCCTTGGCCTGTTTGACAGGACTGATGATACTTTAACGTATCAGAATAAATTTACTAGATTTTTTTTCTCTCTCTCTCTCTCTCTCTCTTTCTTTTTTTTCTCTATATGTATATATCAAACTTTCTTTTTGCTTAAATATTTTGATTATAAGAAAAATACATATAATTTATAATAAATAAGTTAAATTAATTCAAATCATTTTTAAGGAGATACTAATTTCGATCGATTGTTAAAACTTTCATTTTCAAATTCTTAATGTTTCCGGCAAATAACATTTATTATGTTCGTAGCTATTTACAAATAATTCTTTTTACTTGGCAAATGAATTGTTTTTCTTTATATCTTTTTTTTTTTTGATAAAATTTATTACAATTAATCATTATAAAATATTTCATTTTTATAGGTGGCTGGAAGCCATACTGCCATATATGAAGCATATTATAATCAGGTATATTTAGATAAGTTTAAATGATCAAAATTATTAATTATTAATAGAAAAATATTTCATATTTATGTAATAATATGTATGTAAAGGTTGATCCTAATGGATATGGACGAATTGGTTCGATGGAGGCAGCAAGATTTTTGAAAAAATCTCAACTGAGCGATGTTATTCTCAGTAAAATATGGGATATGGCAGATCCACAATCTCGTGGATCATTGGATAAGTCTGGTCTTTTCGTGGCCCTTAAACTTTGTGCGTTAGTACAAGCTGGACATGAATTAAGCATGAACAATTTAAATTTAGAATTACCTCCTCCAAAGATGGTAAGAGTATTATTTAAAATTAAAGATCTTTCATTTTATTTTTTATTGACTTATTTATATTGTAGGGAGATATTCCTATCATACCACAAAAAAATATTTCTAATACATTACCAATAATAACATCCATTAACAATGGAGACTGGTCCATCAAGCCTAATGAAAGAGCAAAGTATGATCAGTTGTTTGACAGTCTTCAACCTTCAAATGGCTATATACCTGGAAATAAAGTTAAAGGTGTTCTTATGGACAGTAAACTTCCTTTAGATACGCTTGGAAAAATTTGGGATTTAGCAGACATGGATAAAGATGGTATGCTGGATAGACACGAATTTATAGTTGTGAGTATACTCAATTTTACTATTAAATATTAACAATTATCAAATATATATACACGTGTATAGCTTTTCGATATTAATATCTTAATATATAGAGTGTCTTGTAATTAGTGATGCATATAACTTTTTGTATAACCTATATAGTTCTATTGAAAATTAATAATCATATCTCAAGAGGATCATCCTATGTAATTTTAGTTATTGTTACACAGGCTATGCATCTTGTGTATAAAGCATTAGAAAAGTATGCTATACCTAGTGTATTACCTCCTGAGTTAATGCCACCTGGTAAAAGAAAGGACCTTTCTTTGCTGGTATCTAAATCACCTGTACCTATGACTATACCAACGATGACACCACCACCAATTCCACCTTTACCAAACATATCAGCAGGAAAAAATGTATCTGGTCCAATTGATACGATGAAGGTATTTATCATTCATTTTTGGTATAATAATTTTATAAAACTTTAAATTCTTTGGAATATAATACGGTGTATTTTCATCTGCAGCCTAGTGCACAGCCTTGGGTAGTTTCAGCCGAAGATCAAATAGCAGCTGATAAACTGTTTTTGCAAGCAGATATGGATATGGACGGATTTGTCTCTGGCTTTGAAATTAAAGATGTCTTCCTTCAAAGTGGACTTTCACAACCTGTATTAGCTCATATATGGTATATAAGACATTTTTATAAAATATATTAGTTAATTTTTTATTTTTTTTAATAACATTTATAACATCATTCACAATATAATTTCAGGAGTTTATGTGATACATGTCAAAGTGGAAAATTAAATAAAGAACAATTTGCTTTGGCAATGTGGTTGATAAAGCAAAAACTTAAGAATATTGATCCACCAGCGACTCTTAAACCTGAAATGGTACCTCCGTCTTTGCGAAAAGGTGGAGATCTTATTATGGTAAGTGTTTCAAAATATCTTTACAGTTTAAATATAATTTGGTAACATTTACAATAACTTGGCACTTGAAATTTTGATAATGTCATTTAGTGTTTAGGAATTCGTATCTTACCCTTTAACGCTCTCCAAATTACAACAGTAAATACACTAATAATAGCAATAGTACCAAACATCATATACTGATAATTAAATTCTAATTCTATTTCGCCAGTCACTATTAATTTTACTGTTCCTGCAAGTTGTTTATTTTGCCAGCAACTAAAAAATTACAGAAATATGTAAATGTAAACATCTTTTATGTTTTTGTTATTATGAGAGCAAATACCTATATATATTGCTGTCTGCAAATTTTAATTTTTTAATAACTATACGCATTCGTGAATCAATAAACATTCTTGAATTTGAATGATATTTTAAAAATGGTAATACTTTAGTTCCAACTTTCCAAATTATTGGTGTTTCTGTATTTAGATTTCTAAAATATTACAAATATCTTATTTGAGTTCGACTATTTAGAATACAAACTTAAATAATAAGATTAAAAAGAATATTATTTTACCCAGGACATATGATTTCTATTTTCTTATTAAGTGTTTCATAAACAATTGTTCTCGTAACTTCTGGCACTAAAGAAGGTATCTTTTGAATCATAGAATATATATTAGCACTATTATTTGCACTTTCAATTAATTTGCCAGCTTTATTATATACTTCAAATACTACATCATCCGAGCAATTTTTCTATAATGATATAATAATATTGTTTTAGTAATTGTTTTATTATTAAAGAATAATGTAATTACAAAAGATAATACCTTGCAATATTTAATCATCATTTCAATTTTTCTTTGTTTAATAATTCTATGTTTTCGAATATGATTTGGTACATTTCTAAATTTACATGGCAATTTATTTTGAAATAGATAAAGTAATGTTTCCGTTTTATATTTTATATTTTCATTGAATTTGTTCTTATCTTAATGTTATATTATCATCAAATTAATGAAATTTTATATATACAAAATTAAAATTATATATGTACTTACCAGAGCCAGCATGATATACAGGATTTTCTAATAGAGAAATAGTACAATAACCATAACGAATTTTTATACCAACATTATCACATTTAGAACATGGAGACCAATTCATCCATGTAGTATACACTTTTAAGTTATATTCTGTTATTATTTCTGATGATGCAGCATGTTTTACTTTTGGTACTGCATCAGGATATACAATATCTATGCCTTCATAACCATTATCAACGTGTAAATAGTAAAGTGATCCTATTGTATCTTTCATTCGACACCAATATTTACCATCTTGTTTTAACTAAATAAATTGATATTAGATTATCAAATTAATTTCTGAATAGATAAATTAAAATTTTTATAATAGGAAATATTCTATTACTTTATATTTTATTATTTTCAAAATATTTTACCTGAATGTTGTACATTTGTAAATTTTTATTGTTTTGAGTAACTAATATGTTTTGAGTAGATTTAATTAATTCGTTAGTAACATTATTATTACTGCTACTATTAAAATACCATTCTATGATATCAACTTCATGTAATATTAACGGAGAGATACATATTTTACACTTCAAACTGTAAATTATTTCTAAATAAGTTTTTATCAAGATTTGAGATTATTAATATTTATTTTTGATTCATACATTACTGATGTTCCTTCCAATACTATAAGAGCAACGGGATGTAACATTTTTTGTGATTTAATTTGGTTATATTGTTTAATTAAACATACATAATATTTTAACCATTGTTCTTTATGTATTTCTCTAAGACTATTATTACTTCTTGGATATTCTAAATTTGTATCTATGATTTTGGCTGTACCTTAAATATTAAATAGATATGTTTTTATAAAATCTAAAGTAAAAACTTACATATAATATTGTATGTAATCTTACTGTATTTATTATTGTATTTTTCTCCTAATTTTGGAATTCTAAGATCAGAACTTAAATTTATTGTAGTTAATAACATATAAATCACAAATACGTTATACATTGTTATTATATTATATTATAATTTTATGATTTATCAACATATGTCATTATTCTATTAGCAATTGTTTTCGTACAATTCTATACAATAGAATCCAATCAAATTCCATTACATTCATTTAAACTATTATTCTTCTATTGCAGGAAAACAATAATATCTCAGGATATTCTAATCCAGAATTAGATATGATAAGTAAGGATATAGCGGAGTTAACACGAGAAAGACATAGCATGGAACAAGATATAGCTCAAAAAGAAGCTGATATTAAGATTAAAAATGGGGAAATAAAAAGTCTTCAAAGTGAGTTGGACACATTAGCTGCTACCTTAAAACAATTAGAAAATCAGAAGGGTGAGGCACAGAAGAGATTAAGTGACCTAAAAGCACAGGTAAGTGAACAAGAGAGATAATTTTTAGCTTGGCTGTAAAATGTTGAGCTTGGCTTCTTAAAAATGATGACCTTTATAGAAAACTGAATTATACTGATTTTTTAAATTTCATTATACTTTATAATTATATATATTATTACTGTACCATATTTTTGTTATTTTTCTTAATTATTAATAATCACACGTAATGGGTTATATTAGGAATAAATGATACGAAAGATAATTGACTCGTATTGTCACTCATTTCATATTAATTTTGTATAGTGATTATAATTTATATTTTATTACTTTTCTTTCTTTTTTCTTTATTTTTTTTTCTTTTTTTATCTCATTATGATTTGTTTTTGTTATATTTTTGTTTGGCTTGTAGACAGCTGATGTAGATAGAGATTTGATTGAAGTGGAGAGCAAGATTTGCAAGGAACAGAAGAAGGTACATCAAAAATTTTCGTTTCTGATCAGGGACAGGTACTAATTCGATCAGTTTTAGACACGACAATGTTTAAAAGATAAACTTTTTATCATTTTTTTGATAAATTATAAACATTAGTTTTAATTATGTTACAGTACGAGTTATTCATTTGATTATTTTTTAAAAATTTCTCCTCTTCTAATTATACTTAAAAAGTATAAATATTTTATTCCTATTTTAATATTTTGTTTACTGTATATAATACTCATAACATACACACAATAACAAATGAAATATTTCAAATTTATACTAATAATTATAGGTCACAATTTTATCAGAATTCATCTCTTGCTTCTTTCTCTCTTTTTAAATCTGTACAACTATAACGTGAACGAAATGCATTAATGTTGGGGTTGCGTTTTTTTTTGTTGCCTATTGTCTCTTCACTCACAATTAATAAGATTTTATATTACTTTATACATTTTGAAATAATACAGTAAGAATATTATAGAATAGATAAATAAAAACTAAATTAATTTTTAGATTAAAGTCTACTAGATAGATATTTGGATATTAATAAATACTAAATTATTTTATATGTACATATAGTACAAAAGTGGATTGAAATAAGAATTAAAATGAAAAAGAAAAATAAGAAATGAATTTTCATTTATTCTGAACTTTAGGTTAACAAATTACGGCAACAAGCTGAAGAACAAGAGTCAGTGTTACGTGCTCAGGAGGAAGAACTCAATTCCAAACGCCAAGAACTTGAGGGGTTGAGACAAGAAGAACAACAGTTAGAGCTACAACAGCATAAAAGCAGGGACCAATTAAATGAGCTTACGAAAAACTTGCAAGATACACAATTACAAATTAGTCAAGCAAAAGCTAAAATTACACATTTGCAAGAACAACAGCGGCAAATGAGTGATGCTATTGCACTTTATGATTCTGCACTTGCTACAGCAGATGCCACTCTTGTACCTGATACTAGTCTACAATTTAATCCAGAGATCGAAGATATAGAGTATGTATAATATATATTACACATACATTATTTTATATTTTTTATCTTATAATTGTTTGAAATGAATATATCTCTAATTTTGAAATAATACAGGTACGATGAAAAAGAAACTAAAAATGTCAATGAAGAAAATAAAGTAGATACATTTACAAATGCAAATGGAACTGCTGGCGTTTTTGATGGATTTGATAGTCAAGATGCTTTTTCATCAAAGAAAGCTCAAGAAGCATTTTCTTCGTCTACTCCTGATCCATTTGGAAATACATTCCCATCACAATCAGCAACGGTAATTTTTTTTAATCAAATTGCATTCATTTATATTTTCCTATTTATTTATATAAAATATTAAATATTGTTGTGTGATAAATATTTCTTTATTATTTTTTTATTAACACACTTTATTTTTTAGGGTGATTTTACTAATGATCCGTTTACTGCATTCGATAACACTAACCCTGTCAAGCAAGATCCATTTGATCCTTTCGGAGATAGTAAAAGAAATGACCAGAAAACTGGTGTAACTGCACCAGCGGTAAATTCAAATATTAATACAGCGGGATTTGATTATTATAATCAAACTTTGTTTATTGGTATATCAATTGAGATAATTACACTTGAGAATAAACGATAAGAATGTATATCTTTTATATGAGTGCATAACAAAAATTCTTATCACAATGAATTATTTTTATAAAAAAGTACTTATCTCAAAGTGATAACAATAAGCGGATTCCACTGTAAATTATTGTATAAAAAAAGAAAAGTTCGAATTTTGATTAAACTTAATCTTTTTCATATAGGTAACAAAGGATCCATTTGGAGATGACCCATTTGCAAATCTTCATGCTCCACCACGACCAGAAAGTCCTAGCCCTGCTCTTCCACCTAAAAAAGCTAAACAACCACCACCAAGGCCTGCACCTCCACGACCATCGCAAGGTCCAACAGGATCTTTGAGAGCAGCCCCAGTTCCAGCTCCTCCTACACCATCTCCCACTCCTGATCCATTTGCAAATGCAAATTCAGATCCTTTTGCCGTACAACAACCAGTTAGAGACAACAATAATATCAGTAATTTCACAGGATCATCTACAGAATTCGCAGATTTTGCAAATTTTGATTCAAAGGTATGTATTGCAATAACTTGTAATTACAATATACAAAATCTTTTTTATAGCATATCATAATTGTATTTATTTTTTTAACATCATAATTATTGTCATTTATTTCAAATTTGTCCAATATTTCTTTAAGTATTTCCATATATCCTTTTTGTCCATATCCAAAAGCACGATCTATCTTTTATCTAAATCAATTTTGTTCCTAGTTTGTCGAATAATGATTTTATTTTTATGAAAAGCTTGTTTTGTAGAATAAGGTTATTATGAACATTGAAATAATTTTAACAATTATTATTTATTACATATATATTTTTTATACATCAAAATATTTAATTTTATTTATTGAATTATAAAATATAGTTGAATTTATTGTTTCAATGTTTTAAGTGATATATTCTTCATAAGAAATGTATCCTTATTAAAAAAAGAATTAATTATTTCATTTGTTTTACATTTAGGTAGAAGCTGCACAATTTTCAGTTTACCCACCGACTTGCCTTGTGAGGCATATTATCAACAAATTTATTTATTTACAATATGTTTTTACACGTAACATTTTCTTATAATTTGCTTATATCAAAAATTATGCTTTACATATGCTTTCACTCTTAAGATGTTTGAGTTATATTAAAGGGAACAATGTTAATTTAATAAGAAGTTTATATATATATATATATACATACGTTTTAAAAATAATTTTAACTCAAACATTTTAAGATCATTGTTTCAAGAAATATTTCTATTTTTATAATAGCGGGATCTTGGACCAGCAGATAAAAAATAACCAGCGGTATTTGCGTTATTTCTTCTAACTTTCCAGTAAAACAAAACTGACCAGTGACAAAACCTGCTTTAGCCGGAATCATCGCTCAATCGAACAGCGCCACCCAGACCAGTGAGTCGGCCACATGCACCAGTGACACTAATAACGAAGCTGCCGGACTTTACGGAAGATCCCTTCAGGAATTACCGATACGAAGATCCATTTAATATAACAGACCCTTTCTCTGATGAGGCAGAAGATTCTAATGCAAACAAAAATACCACAACGAACACGGTGGACCCATTTGGATTTGGATCTACATCATTATCAAATACTACAAATTCTTTGGTAAAAGGATTCGATGCTGATTTTGGTAAAGCATTTTTTGACCGAAATAAGAATATAAAATCATCTGAAATTGATACTTTCTCTAGTAACAAGACCAAAACAATTGATATTGATGAAGCATTTTCAAATAAATGTGACAAAAGTGAAAAATGGCAGGCACAGGAAATAACGCATAATTTAAACGTTAAACTAAATCTTAATGATAATAAAAAAACTAAAAATGACGTTGATAACATTTGGAATGGTACTGCACCTCTTGCATTAACAGAAGACGAACAGGTTGCTTGGGCAGCTAAGCAAAGTTTAATAACTGAAGAGGAAAGACGTAGGCTCAAGGAACAAGAAGAAGCTGAATTAGCTCTTGTTCTTGAATTAAGTAAACGAGACAAATCTGGAAAATAAGATTTCTTTTATTTTTTGTTACGATAATTTATGATATTGGATTTACTGATTTAGTATGACTTTAAATTCAATGACTTATTAAATTTTCATTAAAAATTAAAGATAAAGAAGTTATATATATATATTATTTCCAATTACCAACAATGTATTTGGATAAATTGAACAATTTTTATTCTTAAAATGACGTATTAAAACATGTGTTACTAATATTTAATTTACAATTATTATTATTATTACTATTTTTATTTTTATTATTATTATTATTATTATTATTATTATTATTATTATTATTATTATTATTATTATTGTTGTTGTTATTATTGTGGGATCACACATTTTCGTGAATATGATGACATGCTGTATAACCAACTTTAAAAAGAACAAAATTTTCTCGTGATTTCTGTTGAAACCAAAGGCTTGTATAATAATGCTTTTTCACTGAATTTTTAAAACATGGTGAATATTTGAGAATGTTTCTCCTCTTTCCTCCTATTCGTTGTATTCAGCTTATATATTAAATTAAAATCTTATGAAATTAATTGCAAGTCTTGCAATGATAAATTCTAAAAAATAATATCAATAATATTGTCCTAATAAAATCATAAGTCACATATATACACACGACTACTCAACAAGGCAATTAAATTTAATTATATAAAAAGAATAGAACGGCATAGTATTGGATCGACAATAAGATGATGTAAAATATTGAATGAATTCATATACGTATCCAGTATATAAACTAATGTGCAGATTTTTAAGCCTGTTGAAAATTCTCTTTATGTACACTGTTAATATAAATTAATGAATAACGTCAAGGTGTAATACTTCGAAATCTTTTTGATCACAGTCATTTACAATATGTACTGTATACATTGTTTAACTTCAAAAACAATAATAACTTAAAAAGTTCTTATATTGTTGTAACCTTTCCTGTTATTAAAAAAAAAGAAAAAAAAATGAATATTATACATATAAGAAAAAAAGTTAACAAGCAATTCATTAGTAAAGAAACACGGCACTGAAATGTTGATAAAGTTTTTGCTATTTTAAAAAATTATACTAGTATTAGGTTGAACTGATGTTATAAATCTATGATCGTTTAAAACTTCTAACCATTTAAGGAGTTTTTGTAATTAGCTTTAAACACACTGTTAACGGAGTCAATATCTTGTAGTTTACTCAAGATACATTTGATAAATAAATGCAATTATATTAGTTGCATGTAAACTCTTAGGACAACGATGATATGAGAATACCATTTAATTCAATTTTTGGTCTCTTGATATATCCCAAAGAGAGAGAGAGAAAGAGAAAGAAAAAGAATAAGGTGTTCTAATTATATATCTGCGTTTGATTTAAGATATTAACCATCTAAACATACAGGAACGTGTTTATCCTGATCACATCATTAGTTATTAATTTCACAGTGACGATAAATTATATCCATTGTATATATATAATTGTTGTCTATATCATTTCATTATATTAATATAATTATTATCGAAGTTATGATTGTATGGATAAACTATTGTTGCTATAATATCTATGATAAAAAAGGATGTCTCCTGCAAACGTTTATCAATATAAAGTAAACTATAACAATACAGTAAATTTAAAAAGTACTTGTGATTTTTCAACAAGCCGAGGTAAATAATAATAATAATTTTCATTTGCGTATTATTAACACAAGTTTATTAAGATATATTTGCGCTCGTGTACAACCATTGAGTACTAAAACTATAATACCTATATTTTAAGTTGAAAAAACACCTTGTAATGCTCACTATGAAAAAACAAACAAACAAATGATCATCAATTTTATTTAGTAGTTTTAATGAAAATCGATATATTGTAAACGAAGTTTAAAAAAGGAACTGAAATTGACTGACAAATAATGAATATAAATTATTTATGTTGTAAAATGAAACAAAAGATAGATGTGTTATAGAATTAATTGTAGCAATCATCAATTTTCTGAATGAAGAAACTTCTACATTACTTATATAAAATTACCCGAGATACGATGAAAAATCTCTTTTTTACGCACACATGAGTTCATGTGTCGTACGCGGAGAAAAAAAAAGACGAATGAATGAATGAGACGAATAAATGCGTAAGGAAGAAAGAGAGAATTCAGATAATGAAAAATACAATCGTATTAGAAAACAAATTCGATATTATATATATGTTATAAAAGTGCATAGTGTGTGAGAACCCAGTATTTATCTTAATGTATACTGCTTCGTGCCATGCGAGAAAGTATAAAATCCTATTGAAATCTTAACGCTGAGAGATATTGCTATTATTAGAAATTTGAATCATTAGTTTATCTTACGTTACTGCTTTCACAAATTTATCATTTGAAACATTGATATATTTCATATAAATGCAACGTTATTAATATTTTATACAAAATGTTTCATTTTTGGATAATTATTTATATGTGAATGTATGAAAAAGTATATGATATATGATAATACGTAGAAAGATTCAATGAACAATAATAAATTGCTGCATAATCATACATATTAAAACAAACAAACAAAAAAAAAATATATATATATATATATAAAGAAAAGAAAAATACGAACGCTTGTAATATTAACGGTAAACTATAAACGATCCGAATAAAAAAAGTGCACTAAAAAGAAAAAAAAGAAAAACGACGTGCGTTGCTTGCATAATACACACAAGCATATTGTTGAATATATCAATTAACAACATTTGCATTATATATATAATTCCCCCAAAGCGTTTTCATAGTCAGTTTAAATGAAAAAGAAAAAATGTCAATCACACGTATAAATGTCATAAATCTTCCAAAAGCCTACAAAAAAGAACCAAATAAACATGGAAATAATGTAATAACTAATTCCAAAGAAAATTTATAATTTATAATTTTAATTGCATTATCCTGTCTATCTCGATTCAAAATTGAATGACCTATTGCATACATTTGTAATGAAAAAACAAAAAAAAAAGAATTATTAATTATTACATATATAGGTAATTATGCATTTCTTTTTAAATCCTGTTCAAAGTAGATGTTTGATATGTTGTACAAATAATAATATTAAATGTTAAATGTTATAAATATAATGTTAGTTGAAATTGGAAATTTGTAAATAGCTATTTAGCGGGCCGCACTGGACGTGCGCGGACACTATTGACGAGATAATGAAGATTGATGATGGCAGAGTATCCAGTACAAGATGTGAAGAAAACTTTAACTATTTATTATGGTAATAGAATACAAAGTTGACTGAAGACAGGAGGCGGCACAGCTGTTTTCGTTGAGCACGAGTGAAAAATGCATATGAAACAAAAAGAAAGAAGAATTGACCATTATAAAATGAACACGTCTTCCTGCATAACTTAATACCTTCCATAACTTTTAGTTTCTGTTTCTCTCAGCTGTGTCAGAGTGGCGCTTGTGTCGAATTATTGAATTTAAATATTCGTTGTGTTTCTTTTACCGATTTAAAACTATACATGATATAAAAATAACATTTTTAAAATTTTTCGTGATATTATATTCGGATTAAATATATATATATATATTATTTTTTTTGTTTTTGTTTTCAAAAAAGATTCAAAATTATCTGATAATTGTTATCGATGATAGATGGCGTGGTAGTCGCATATTATACTCCGTATAACAACAATGCGAGTCCAATCTTTTGAAATACGAGTTGATTGTTATTATTTGCATTGTTAAAATAAGTGGTAATGCAATTGCATATTTGAATATTTTTCTTGATAATAATAATAAGTGATTAAATGAGAATGTTATTGCAACTTTATCGATGTAAATGTAATTCATTTTTAAGATCTAAAATTGCATCATTTCGATATGTAAGTACTTGCGAAAGTACAGTGCAAGAACAATTAGATCAAACGAAGATCGGTAATGCATCCGTTATTAATGAAGAATTTATAAATAAACTTGAAAAATTATCCTTAGTTGGATACAATAACGATCGTGGTATTGCGATTTTAAAAGCAGCTGTGAATTTTTCTGAACGTTTAAGAAATATTGACATACCAGAAGAAATTCAGCCACTGTACAATCCTTTAGAGGAACAGAATTTATATATACGAGAGGATGAAGTGAAGGAAATTAATAATCGTCAAGAGATTTTAAAAAATGCACAAGTTTTAGAAGAAGAATATTTTATAACTCCATTGCAAAGTCATAAAAACAAATCATGTGTGTAGAAAATGTATTAAAAAATTTAGGTACAACGTTTATGAACTTTTCTAAAAATGGATTCATTTATGGATCACAAGGTAATATGCTTCTTAGAAATTTGGAGGCACATTGGTTCTTACATTGCATTACTATGTCACCTTACAATGTTTTTCTAACTACTAACGATATGATTAAACATACTCTACAAGTATTAGATAATATGAATATAAATGAATTACCTTATGGACTTGGTATAATAGAAGATACAAAAACTTCTTGGAATCAATCAATTTTGCCAAAAGAATGTAAGGTGACGTCTCATAAAATTGCTAAAACTATTACATTTGTACATAATTCTCAATCCAAAGATTTGTTTTATAAAAAACAAAGAGAACGAAAAATGTGGTGGCGTAAGCTCACTCAAAATCCTTCAAGATTTCTACTTACAGAATCAAGAAAATTGAGAAATCGTGAGATCATTGACATAGAAGTGTCATTTCCTTTTGGTAACATTATTGTAGAATCAATTATTTATCAACACGATGTTCAGAAATTATTCTTAGAGGTATTACATTATTAATATAACATTTATGACAAATTTATATAACTTAGAAAAAATTATTATACTTTATTTATCTATTTGCAGACTAAAAATTCTAAATATGATATTGGTGATGTGCAAATGATTGAACATATTGCTTCATTAGATTGGGGTTGTTTAGCATTACTTTCTGATAGTTACGAAGATGGTAAATCTAATCGAATATTGTTACATCCAAAGATTTCACCGTACAAAGTTGCTTTTTCCATTGAAAAAAGTAATGATACGGATTTGGATGAAGAAAAGTTAAATCGTTTTATTATTTATTTAAATAATATACTGAGAGCAAAAGGTTTTGAAACAATATTAGCAAATACAAAAGAAGTTATTGAAATGTGCTTAATTCCTTTTGTTGTTACCGTAACTCAGACTAGTCTCAAAAATGGCATAATACATATTACGAGTAGATCAACGACTCTTGCAGAGGCAATTCATTTTACAGATTTGGTGAAATATATTGGTTTACGATGTAATCGTTCTACGTGACAAAGAATCATTAATATAAATCTAATCGTTATCTTCATTTTATATATTTTATTTTTCTAAGATTTATTACCAATTTCGATGCATCTTTTTTTTTATACATTTTTTCATTCAATAAGATATTATTTATCGTCAATAATTTCCATAAATGGCCTTGATAAATAAAAAATAAATAGAGTTTAAATTTTATTCTATTTTAATATCTGCTCATTTAAATTTCACGCGTTACCAAACTTTTTAATTTTACAATGTAAGATATTATTTGTTATTCACAGTTCACAACATTTCTCTGCTGCAAGTTAAAAAATAACTGTGTTTTACTTATAATTTATTTAAATTATTAAAGTAAATTACTTTATAATATAATATAATAATAATAATAATCATATTTAATTAACAAAAATTAAACAATTTCAATATTACAATTCTAGTTTTCTGACTGGCTTATCCAATATTCAACTTCATTTCTTGTTCATCTTTATATGGAGCTAAACATTGTCACAGAAGTATCACTTCTTTTTAATAAAAAATTGTCTCATGCAGATTTTATGCTTGAGAATATATTTTTATGCAAGATATCTCATGTCTTATAAAATTTAATAACAATGTAGAAAACATGAATACTACAAAGAATAATCATAGATCATGCGTGATAATATGAATAATGAATAATGCATAACTCAGAGTTTCAGAAAATTTGGAGAGACATACTCGTGTGCGTGTGCATACTTCTGTTCTGTCAAATATAACCAACTTTTAATTACAATTCAAATGACGATTATGTTTTGACTGACAGTTAGTTTTATGTACTTTTAAGGAAGTATGTTAGGATTAAGTTACGTCAGTAACATTAGCTGGGTAACATCATTTGAAAATCAAATCATCATCCTAACACACTTTCTAAGAAGTATATGAAAATACAGTTAAGCAGGTAATTGTAACTTTTTGCCTTTCAGTACTTTGGTAATATAGAGGTAGAAGAAATCACAATAAAGAACTGTTTGAATCAAGCCAGCGACAATTGCGATCAAATCATAATGATCTTCTGCATAATAACGATAAACCCAATTGAATAAATATAAGCCTCTATATGATCCCAATGCAAAGAGGTAATGACTGGTAATACTCTCTGCTTCACTTGTTTTGGAAACAAGAAATAATTGTGGCAATATTGCTACGGATTCCAAATAAATGCTAAAGGTCCATAAAACTTCTACAACTGATAGTTCATGGTTTATCAATAAAGCAAGTACAAAGGTAGGTATAATCAAAAATTCAATTCTGAAACAAAAAAGTTACATATGTTATTTGTTATAATAAAAAATAAAGAGAGCAGTATAGAGTATTATTAATAGTAAAATATCAAAGATAAATATATAATATATAAATATACACATATATATACCTGAAAGTGTCATGATTATGATCATAAGTAGCCTTGAATTTGATATACATTAGATAAACCGTAGCAAATGATGCCGAGAGAAAAATAATCTTCATGAAAGTGTTGTAGATAGAGATGTATGTGTTTATCAGATCTAGATATCGTGTCGTATAAACTATTGCAAATAATATTTGCGTTTTTCCGCTTATACCTAAATATTAATATAGTATTAAATAAATTACATATATGTATATATATGTAATGAAAATATTGAAAATATATAGATAAAGTTAAAAAAATGAATAAAGTAAGTATTAAAAATATTAATATCATGAATATTACTGAATGAAGTGGATACAAACCGGCACAACTTCGCGTTTTCCATATTTTTAATAGCAATATAATAATAGCTAAAAGGTGCGAAATGTCACCTAAAAGGCGAAAAATGTTCATATCTTCGTTTACTAATCACTAATTCTTTCACACAGAGAATAAAAACGCACAGTGCACCAATCTCTTAATGCATCTAAATATGACGTGGCTTTAGACGCTGCATCGGCAGATGGCCGAACGATTAGTACCATTTCAGCCGGAAGTGTATACGTATTTGTGCATGTTGCTTATCTTCTTTCAATACTTTATTTTTTTTCTTGACAAATTCGTTTAAATAAAATAAACATATTCATCTTTGATATTATTTATTAATATTTTCGTCTACGAAATATATTTTTGAAATTTTTTAAAGTAAAGAGAGAGAGAGAGAAAAAATCAGAAATTTCTTGTAATTTGATTCGCTCGCGCATATTTTTTCATTAAATATTTGCCAATAATATCTTAAGAAACGTATCGGTTTATTTTACTTTTATGACAATTTTTAGATAATGTATTTGGTTGATAGAGTTAATATTTTTTTATACGTATATATAACTATTATATATGTAATATAAATATAATGTAATTATTGACATGATTTTTCGTACAGATATTATGATTTTTAAAAGTTGGCAACAATTAATATAGATCAATTGTTAACCTTCCCGATAGATGGCTACTCTGTAACGTAAATAATAATTTAAATAGGTGTAAGTTAAGTTTCAAATTTATTTTTGTTATTTATTAGTTTAATTAAAATTGTAATGAGAAAAAAATGGATGATGAATTAGAGCAATTAAAAGAAGATCTTTCTAAAAAAATATCTTTATTGAAAAGGCAAATACACGAAGAAGAAACTGAACAAGCTCGACGATTGACATCCTACACTCGGTGCTATTATATATTTTATTTTATTTATTAATAGAAAATATAATTTTTAATATTATAAATTATATAATATATGTATTTTTACAGAAATCTAAGTCCTATAGAAGATGATTTTTCGGATAAGGAATATTCATGGAATGAGATGCGTAAAATGTGTAAATTATCAAAACGTATAACTGGAATTAAATTTCACAATTCCACAAAAAATTGGATTAATAATAGGATTTATAAATACACAACTAATGTAGATACCAAAAGTATTAACTTTTATTTAGAGCTAACCGTGGATTTAAAAGTATTGATATATAGCAAATTTATAAAATATTATTTATGTAATAGTATTTATTTATTTTATGTATAATTATTTATTTTTTATTTAGAATGATCCTGATTTTGAAATAATTGATATAACTTGTCATTTTTTAAATCTTCAAACTTGTTATTTATCAGAAATAACTCCATGGGTTCAATCTTTTTCAAAATCAAAAAATTTATCCTTTCTTATGTCTGGTAATTTAATAATTCACAATTACTTTAAGGTTTTAAATTAAGTATTTCAAATGACTGTTTATATATTTCAGGAATATCCGATTATAGTTATTGCAATCATTTACGTCAAAAAGTTATTACATCTTTAAAAGAAACTAATTATGCTGATGTTTATGAACACGAAGAAGAAGGTGGTGGAATTTTATTAGATATAAAATCACCAAAAAATCCAGACCATATATATATAAAATATCTATGGCTATTGAATTATGTTGATAGAACTTGTCGCGTAGATCATCATTTTATAATAACTGCTACAGAATTTGGTATTAGTATAACAGTTTATAAATTTTGTTACACTGTTAATAACATATATATATAAGTTTTCTTTATTTGTAAATATTTTAGGCGATGAATTTGTTGAAGAAAATACTTCATTAATTAAAAAATTTTGCAAGCTGAATCTGAAGAAGCAAGATATGATTGAACTATGGTCACAATTATGTATTGCTATTGATTCTTACGAAAATGAAAATGTGTAAAATATGTAATGTTTAACCTTTCTCATGGAAATTTTACTATCTATAAGTCATCTTTACTATTCTCTAATATCCCTCATTCACATTTCTCTATTGTATATTATCCCTGTATAATAAAAATATATAATATATATATATATATATAAGAACGTTTTGTTTCAAATGCACTTTTTCCTGAAATTAATTTAACAATAATTGTCTTTTTAATACTAGTCTATAATTAAGTACGTAACGTTTATTAATATGAGTAGCAATATAAATTGTTACAAAAATTTTAACTATTTTTAATAATAAATATTTAATAATTTGAATATTCAAAACGATATGAACTACAATAAGAACCTCAAACCACAGATCCCCAGTGGCGCAATTGGTTAGCGCACGGTACTTATAAGACAGTAACTTTGTGAGCAATGCCGGGGTTGTGAGTTCGAGCCTCACCTGGGGAATATTTTTTTTTCTTTGTCCTTAAAAAAACTCTAATAAAATAAAAATTATCAAATTATATAAACTTAATTGATTTATAAAATATTTAATTTAATTTTATTTAAAATTAAATTAACTTTTTACTTATTGTAAATAACATTTGTATGTATCCATATATTTAATGAAGAAAGAAAAATTGATTCAGTATTAAGATTTTAATTTTTTCTTTAAAATTATTATATATATATATTTAATATTTTTAATTATAACTTGAACACATTATAATATAATATTCCTTTTTTATGTGATTTCCTTATTTAATTTTTTAAAATATTCTATACTTTTTGTCTACTTATTTTTATTTATTTATTTATTATTTACATAAATTAGTACATAAAAAAAATAATAAAGAATCTAATTAGCAACTGTTTGTTTCTCTTCTTCTTTATTTACTTCAGAGTTTTCTCTAGCTTTTCTATTTCTCCATGCTGTCATATAAGTTCTTGGATGAATGGGAAAAAAACCTGCTAAGCCTAATAACTCAGCGACTGGTTTAGAAACAGCTACTCGTTGTCCAAGCCAATATTGTATTCTTTCAAAATTAAATGAAACTAATTTTTCATTGTATTTATTTGGAATTGGATCATAAGTACCTAATTGTTCAATAGGAGGCATATGTTCCGCTGCTTTTGTCTGAAAAAATATATTTTATTATATTTTAAAGCAAGAAAAGTGTATGTAACATACTTATATGTCTAATTGCTACAAAATAATATTATAATAGAGATTCTTAGAAACTTATATGAATATTTCTTGTACTTAAAAAATGATTAAAATATAAATATTGATTGTTAACTTACATCCATAACAACAATATGATAGAATGGTCTGTTTGCACAACCATATCGAGCAAATCTAATAGATTTGTTATATTTACTCACTATCCCCGTACCCGAAGAAGGATGAAGTGGTAAACGAGGCATTTTATAAATCCGAAATTTTTGAATTAGGGTTATGTCCTTCTGTGTATATTTTCATATATAAATATCTTTTTTTTCTCTTTCTAGATAGGTAGATCTATAACTATCACAAATTACTAGAGAATCAAAACTCCCTATGCGTTTACTTAAAAAACTAGAAATCAAAATATTTGTTTCCTGTAGGGATCCTGTAGGAGGGATGCGCCATGTACATTGCTGGGGGACCGGAACTCGATTTTGCGCGCGAATGATTCAAACATTGAAATAATTATGAAATAATGAATTGCATCAAATACAGAAAAAAAATGAACTATATTTAATGATAATTAAAAATTTATATTAAAATAGAATAGGTTACACGAAAAAATTATTATAAATTCAAGCGGTCCCCCAAAATTTTCAGCCAATGGCACATGAGCTGAATATGAATGGCGCATCTCTCCTACAGGATCCCTAGTTTCCTGTATGCACTAATAGAATGCTTCGAAGCAGTGCTGTCAGATCGTGGGTAAATCTTACCCTCTCCCTGTGCCACTGGGATTGCACACAATGAAAGTTTTCCATGTCCGTGTGTTTGGGATTTCGAGGAAAGCCGAGTGTAACCGAAGTTGGCGGTTGGCCACGAAGTGGCACATTATGAAAGCAACTCGTGTCCATGTGTTCGGACGACACGAGTCGCTTTCATAGTGTGCCACTCCGGCGTGCCCGCCAACTTCGGTTACACTCGACTTCTTTCGACATCCCAAACACACGGACATGGAAAACTTTCATTGTGTGCAATCCCAGTGGCACAGAGAGAGGGTAAGATTTACCCACGATCTGACAGCACTGTTTCGAAGCCCAACTAATATAACCTTAATCTAACCTAATGTTGATTAGTTCTAATTTTAGCAAGTAAGTTTACTACTTTTCAAAAATATTATTTTGGAATCAATTATTAAAGTGATCAATTGTGTACATAGTGATATGTGATTTTTATTATTTATATATTTTTTGGTATAGATATAAAAATGTCAAGAGATAATAAAGCAGCACTAAAAGAAGTGCGAGAATTACTTAAACACAAAGAATATGTTGATGCAATGATGAAATGCAAAGAAATAATAAAAAAAGATAAGACAAATTATATGGCTTATACCTTATTAGGTGCTGCTACGCTTGAATTAGAAGAATATAAATATCGGACTCCAGCAATTTTCCAAAAAGCAATTAAGCTACAACCAGAAAATATTTTAGCTTATCAAGGATTAGTAACTTATTATGAAAAAGAATCAAACAAAAATCATAATACGCTAAATAAATTGATAGCAAGTTATTGTAAACTTATAGAATATGAAAGGTTAATATAAATAGTTCATTAATTTATATAATTCTAATGATTATTAATTTTAGTTGTATATTAACATAATAAATTTGACTTTCAGTGATATGTCCAAAGCCTACATGATTCTGGAGAAAATATCTGACCTTCTTTTATCTAAGAAATATAATGTAAATTTTAATGATGCCATTAAAAAATTAAATTCCGCACGTGAAAATGCCAATGAAGAAAAAAATCTTTTAATAAGCAAATCTTTGGCATATATTTTAACAGAAAATTCTGATTTGTATCAATTTAATGATTTATTAGAAAATGTTCTATCAATTGTCATAAAAGATCCTAATGTCGTTAACAGAAAAAATTATTATAAGAAATATTTAAAACTTTTAAGTAAATCGAATAAAATAAGTACATTAGTAGATGAAGTTGCCAATATGTTCAAGCAATTCCCGATGGACAGTTATCCTCTTGGTATTTAATTAATTACAAAATTTTAATGATACATATTCTAATAAATTCAATAATCTTTTACTTTGTTATTTCAGAATTGATATGCAGAGTTTATAATGACTACAAAGTAGGCAATAAAGGAGAAATAGATATTGATATTGTTCCTTTTTATAAATCACTTAGAAAATTTAATCATGAATCCGAATTTAGTATTGTAGCTGAGGCAATACATTTACAAGAAACTGGCGATTTAATCCGATCACGTGAAATTCTAAATCAATTAGTTTTAATTAAACCAAAATCATTTTATGGATATGTTCTGTTGGCCACAGTAAATAAGAAATTATATTGTTATGAAAGTGTGGAAAATGCCGCAACCGAAGTATTACGTCTTTCATCTTATAAATCTTATTTGTGGAATGAAATTAATGTATTATATGTTGAGTCACTTAGCAGAAGCAAAGATGTAGAGAAATGGAAATTAGCTAAAAAATTATGTGAAGAAGTAAGTAATAGTAAAATATAAATAAGTCTTATTTATTTTATTACTTTTTGTTTATAAATCATATATATTCAATCTATAAGATTCTTTTTTATATTATTTATAATGTATATTATTAAATAGATTTTAGAAAGAAAATCTTCACTGCAAGTAAGATTAATTCTAGCACGGGTCAATGTATTATTAAATAATGATGGAATTCTTAATGAATTAAGTAATTTGGAATCAATACCTGAAGCAAAAGTTGAAGCTGGTGTTTTACAAGCAATGTATTATATGATTCATAATAGCTTGGAACAGGCTGTAGATATTCTTGGATCTTGTATAGAAACTTCAGAAAGTTGGTCGTTGCTTGGTCAAATATATTGGGAAATGGGAGATTATAATCACAGCCAATTAGCTTTTTTAAATAGCGTACAAACAGATCGTTTTAACTGGGAATCTTTTATTTATCTTGGACAATATTATCTCGAACATGATAAAGATATAGAACGATCAAAAAGGTCCTACCAAGCAGCATTACAGATTAATCCTTATTCAGAAAAAGCTGGTATCGGTTTAAGTACAACATTGAGATTACTTAACGATAGTGTATGCATAATATATTTATGTTTAATAAAGAAGAAACTACATTGATTATGATAATAGTAAATTATTAATGAAAATGTTTCTTATTTATAGAAAGCTAATATAGAATTGTTGCAAAAATTAACTGCTTATAGCAATGGTCCTAAATGGGCATGGTTACAATTGGGTTTGTATTATTTAGATAGAGGAAATGCAAACGAAGCTATTAAAGCACTGCAACATGTCATTAGAGCTGATCCCACTGACAAGTATAGTTTTAATAATTAAATAATATGTTTCTCTTTTTACTTTCATTAAATACTTAATTTTAATGTATTTTTTATTTAGTCATGGTTGGGAATCTTTGGCAGATGCATATTTGGCAAGAGGTGCTTATAGATCAGCTATAAAATCTTATCAACGAGCATTAGATTTATTCCCTGGATCTTTATATTCTAGCATACAAGTTGCAAATATTAAATTGGTGAGTTTAACATATTAATGATTATGATAATACATACGTTTTTCTTACTCCACAAACATTTTATAAATATATATTATATTACATAATTATTTATAAGAAATATTTTTATTGTAGTTAATAGGCGAACTTGAAGAAGCTAAGGAAGAATTTAAAAATATTTTGAACAATGAATCACATTATTTACCTGCTCTGAAAGGTCTTGCCGAGGCAGGCTTAGGTTTAGCAACAAAAAATATATCTACCCAATTCTTAGGACGTGCTAGAGAAAATCTTCAACAGTCAATAGAATGTTTGACAGATGCTGTATTGATTAATTCTAAAATAATTTGCATTTGGAAGTTATTGGGAGATGTATGTCACAAAAGTGCAATGTTATCTGAGAAATATTGTCACTTTAAAGTTAAACCTTTTTTGATGAATCTTGAAAGTACCGAAGAATATATTGTTATTGGAAGAGAAGATTTATTTCTACTATCAAAAAGGTATGAAATTTATTAATATTTGTTTAAGTCCCTAAATTTGATTAATATTCATTTCAAATATTTAGATCTTATTATCGTGCGTTGGATCTTTCGAAAAATTCTTCATTACTATGGCATGATCTAGCTTGCTGTTACGTTTCACAATTGCGTTTAAATTCTATAAATAATCGTCAAGAAATTGCAAATGAAGCTCTTACAGCTGCTAAATATGCTGTAAAGTTATGTCCAACATCATGGTCGCATTGGAATATTCTAGGAATAATCTGTATGATACCAGAAGTAAAAAATTATGCTTTGGCACAGCATTGTTTCATTATGTCAATCAGTAAAGAAAATAATGCTATAGTATGGACTAATTTAGGAATTTTATATGCACTTCTTGGTAATTATAAATATATATATAATATGCATATATATGCATACAATAATTTATTGGTTCATTATAGGAGAGATATACAAAGCAAATGAAGCATTTTCTCGTGCCCAACAAGTAGATCATGATTATATGAACAGTTGGGCTGGTCAAGGTGTAATTGCTGAAATATTTGATTTAACAGAATCATTGAATTTGTATAGACATGCAACAACATTAGGATATAATAATGAAGCATGTTTAGGGTTTGCTCATGTGGTAATAACATTAGTGTTAAACGGTAATGCAACGAAAGATCCTTTATATACTTATAATATTGAAAATATGCATTCCATACCAGCAGCAATAGATATGCTTACTTGGTATATAGGTTGGTAGTTATTATATTTTTAGTAATTAGAACTCTCTATCATAAAATTATTCATTTTGTTTCATGTGAATAACATTTAATAATAATTTACAGAACACAATTCAAATAATGCACATGCGCTTAATACTTGTGGATTGTTGTTGGAAAGACAACAATTATATTTATCAGCAAAAGAGCAGTTTACTAAAGCATTGTATAAAGGTAACGAAGAAGAGAAAGATTTCATTCGTATAAATCTGGCACGAATTTTATTACATTTTAATCAATATGAAGAAGCTATAAAGTTATGTAAAAGTGTACAAAATGTTACTTTCAATTCACAATGTCATTTAGCTTTATGTTTCTTTAAAGGTAAATTTTAATTTTGCTATTATTTTTTTTGTAAAGTGATGTATCCTATATATTTACAAATTTATTTATTTATAAAATTACAGCGAAGCAATTTGAAGATTCATATAATACTTACGAAATGGCTCTTAAAAATTCTGTAACAGAAGATCAAAAAGCAAACGTATTGTGTGCTATGGCAGCTATGACTCATATCTTTCAAAGAGTAGATGATGTTAAAACTTTACTCTTTCAATGTATAATGATTAAGCCACCTTTGATACATGGTTTTCTAGCAGCTGCCGCATTGGGTATATTACATGGAGATTTGAATTTAACCAACCTGGTATTAAATGAATTAAAATCATATAAAAATAATGTTGAGACCGAACATCACATTACTACTTTGACTGCTTATTCTAGTCTTGTTCAAAATAAAACACAAGATGCTATTAAAGTTTTTTCAAAGTTAACTTATAGATTTCCAAGTGAGTATTGTTTTTACATTTCATTTCTAAATATGATCTTAAATATATTTCGTAATGATTATCACATTATATGATAATTTGTAAAATTTTAGATGATCCCAATTGCTGGATAAATCTTGCTAGAATTTTATTTGATCGAAATTCAGAGATATTCTGTAGATGCTCACAAAAAGCATTATATTTACGTAAACTTTCATCTTCTAAAAATATCATACATATAGCTTGTGCATCTATATTAAATAATCTAATTACTGAAAATTTCACTGATGCATTGAGAAATATACAAAAGGCAATATTTCAATTTCCTAATCAAATTGAAAGTTGGGCAACTTTTATTGCTGTTTTTCTAATACGATTTGAGGAGTAAGTAATATTTAAATTAAATTTATATTTTAATACATAATAGTAATTTGTAGATAATTGGAATATTGATATTTTTTCAGACGTATTAATACCGAGGTTAAATTCAATGCAAAATGGATATCTAAATTAATAACTATAGTGCAACAACAATTTCCTATACAAAATCAAATATATAATTGGTTAGAAAAAAAGAAAAATATAATTAATGTCTTACTATAAAATAAAAACAATGAAATATTTATTTGTTTATACAAACCCTCCATAATACAAATTTACATTGCATGAATTGAAGGGATTATTATACATAAACATATGAATTAACTGAACTTTACAAAAATTAATCAGAATCAATATTTATAAATTATTTATTAGATGTACAAATATATTTTAAGATGATGTATCGAAAATTATACATACATTTATAAAAAATTATTAAACATTTGATCATGAAAATATTTTCCGTTCTTATTTATCACTGATGATTATTTTAAGTATGAAGTTAAACTATTATAGATTATTAAAATATAAAAGTGGTTATAACTTTAAAACAAAATTTAATACAACACATGTTTATATTAATTTTTTCATTGTTCTGTTATGTCTTGTTTATTCCTGAAATAGGTAGCACATATTATAAAACACTATTATAAATTAAATGTATACTACAGCAATATATTCCTGTATGACGTGAAGTTTATCTCAAAGGCGGCGCATTTTAAATATTTACTTGGTTAATAGGTTCACCGCTAGATGATGCTGAGAAACTAACCACTTGAAATTATATCTATGAGAATTTGTGTATGCAGTACATAATATAAAGTTTTATTTATTGAAGAGATTGAATTTAAATAAAATTAGTGAAATTGTTATAAGTGGTATTACAATTGCAATCATTTTCAGTGTGCATTATCTTAATAATAAATATTACAAATATTTTAATTATTTTTATATATATATATCTAAGTTAATATATATTACAATACAGAAGTAAATTTATAGTCAATCACGGCGTTGTCCACTTCAATCAAAACTTCTTCCAATATTTTCAATAAATAATAATTTTAATTTTTAATTATTCATTGATATGGATATAAATAATATATATAGAATAAACTCGTGTATATGAAACAATATAAAAAAGAAAAATAGAAGAAAAAACAAACAGAAAGTACAGTCACGTACATAACGTAAACAAAGTGCAAAATTGTTTATTATGAACAGTTTTTAATTGTGTCATTTTGCAAGGAATAATAATGTTCCTTGAAAATAATAATGCCTTTGTTAAATATATATTTAAGGTTACTTTGATTTACTTAATCACATGAAGCTTATACACAAAAATTTTTAATCTGTTAACTTATATCACTCTGTTGACGTTTAATTTTATCTAAAGAAACAATCATAAATAAAAATATATGTAAAAATGACTAGTTAGAAAATGATATAATTGTAAAATAAAATTGTAAATATAAATAACATAATGGATAGAATTGCAATAATTAATGTGGTAACTGATGAGAAAGAACTGAATGTTTCATATAACGTAGGATGGTCAATTGAAGATCTTTGCACACAGGTATAGTGTCATTTAAAAATAATTTATATTATATTTTTAACAATTATTGATTATGCACTATCTCTAACATATAAACTTTTAGATTTGCAAAATATTTGGGATAGGTCCTGTGGCAAGGCATCTTTTTGCATTAAGGAATCACTCTAACAAACTTTGGTATCCAGCTAATCACAAATTAGAAAACAGAGAGAAGAAAAAGTTTGATTTTCGTTTAAGATTTAAACCAGCCAGTTTACAGACATTAAAGCGCATAGATGAAAAAGCTTATGATTATTATTTTCTACAAGCTCGTTGCGATGTTTTGGAAAACAAAGTACCAGATATTGTTTACGAAAGGCACAAACGTGAATTGATTGGATTAGGTGTTAGTGATATGTATAGGTATATCTAATTATGTTTTAAAATATGTGGGCATAACTTCAGGGATGATTTCAATTCTCTAATATAATTAATTGCAGAGTAATGCTTGAAAAAGGTATACCGAGAGAAATAGTTGAATCAGAGTACAAGAAATATATTCCAAAGGAATGTATTAAACGTCATGCTTTTTTTATAAAGAAACCTATACATAATGCACTTGGACGTATTTCTGGACATGATGCATCTTATGTAAAAGAACAGTACCTGAAACAATTTGAATGTATGGCACCAAATTATCCATATGAGGAATATAAAGCTTTAATGGATAAAGGTGTTCCAAGCCCTGCAGCTAAAATAGTACTTAGGGTAAATTTTGAAGAAGTAAAATATTGCGAAACGGAATCTGGCGTTTGGAATCAACTTTGTGCAATAGAAGATCTTTGTTTTATTTCTATAAGGTAAAAATAATTCATTATTAATAAAATAGTACTTACTATTTTTCTATTGGATTATTGATTTATAAAAGAACATATTATTTTGGATTATATATAATATTACATAGCGTTTTATTACAGACAAGACAATACTGTAGAAGTATCTAGAAAAAATGGAATACCATCATATTTAAAATTTACAGCAAGTAATCTTCTCATGTCATTTGTCTCTGCTTTGGATGGTTACTATCGTTTAGCTATTAAATGGACTTTTAATCTGTGTAGAGATATTACTACACCAAGTTTAGAGAGACTACATAAGCTGAGATGTCATGGACCAGTTGGGTAAGATCATTATTACCAAAATTACCTTTTAAAATCATATATTTTCTTGAAATAAATTATAATTTAGAAGAAAAGGAAAAAGTAGTAACATTATTCTGGTAGAAAGGAATTTGCATATGGAAAAATTGAAGAAAAACGTGCCAATCGTCCAGGATCTTACATAATTCGTGAAAGTGAAACGGAGTATAATGTTTATTATATCGATTACTGTGGCAAAGATGGAAATATAACGTCACAAAGGATAGAAGATAGAGTTAATACATTTGTAATACCAAACAGTATACAAACATTTAAATCCTTAGGACATTTTATCTCTTCATGTCAAGATTCCGAAAGTCTACCACATCTTTTAGAATGTTTACCACCCTCTGAATATGGTGTGTTAAATGATATTCTCTTTCTTCTTTTTTTTTTTTTACATTAACTATCATCAGAATCTAAGATTTTTCGTTTCTTTCTTTTTGTTGCAGACAAATCACCATTATTAATTTGTGCACTAGAAAAAATAGGAGGCGAAGTTACTGCCGATGAAGAAATCATTGCATCTCTTTTAGAACAGGGACCTCGTTGTGTTCCTCGTAATCAATTGAAAATTTATAAAACTTTATACCACTCAAAAAGCAATGATTCTTTAAATATACCATTTTTAAGTAAACCATCACCCACGATATTACATTTGGCAATGTGGCATGTTTCAAAAGGCAAAAAGTTGGAAATTGCAATTAAAATGCTCAAAGATGAGGAATCACGTTCCACTAAAGAATTTTTAGAATTAGCTGGCAAATGGAGTCAATTAAGATCAAGTGCTTTAGTAAGGTAACTGTATAAATTTTTATTATAAGTTATTTTTATATTAGATAAAATTCATGATTATAAAAATAAACAATTATTTCTTTGTTTGCTTCATAGACTATATGGTTTAACTGTAACACCAACAATCGGAATGTTATTAGAATTAGTAGGAGCTGGACCATTAGATGCATATTTAAGTAACCCTTCTTCACCATCTGTAAAAACAGTTGATATGGTGGAAGCAGCTGCATGCTTAGCAACAGCATTATGGCATTTGGTATTTATATCTCATCTTCTATTTTAAATATAATCTTATATATAGTTCATTCCTTTTGGTTCTTTATTCAATTTTGAAAATATACTTACAGGAGGAAAATGGTGTTGTTCATGGAAACATTAGATGTAAAAAACTTCTTGTTCATGCACACACAGCTAATAGTTTTATAGTTAAATTAACCGATCCTGGTCTCTTTACTTATACAGATAAGGAGTATGTTTTTTATACATACATATTTATGTTTATAATGTAATTATGTGATTATATATTTATTGTATTGTTCATAGTATACATTGGATACCACCCGAGCTTTATTCAAATCTAGAAATTGCAAAATCTAGTTTCCAGACAGATATATGGGCTGTAAGCACAACAATTTGGCAAATTTTTTCAAAAGGACTAGATCCTTCCAAAAATCATAATGTGAATGCCGTTAAAAAGGTTTATTATAAGAAATCATTATTAATTACAATTAAAGAGTGAATATATATCCTATATTAATACTTAATTATTCTACAACAAATTTTCAGGATTATGAAAGTGGTAAACGTTTGCTTATGCCAGCATCCTGTCCAGCAGAAGTTTATAAATTAATGATAGATTGTTGGGGTGAACCTAATGGTATAAGAAAACAACCTCAAGCAATAATGCGTGATATTAATCAAATTCTCTATCAATCATTTAATTCAAGAAGAAAGCACGCATATGCAACTGCGTTTCCTAAATTATTTCATGATTCGGATCTTATACATGAAGAAGATTCTTCTGATACACCAGACGATAAATCAATAAATTCTGGATCACATGCGAGTAGTCTTATTACTGATAAAACTAGTTTACCTTGGGATGATGATGACAGTGAGCACAAGAAATAATTTTTTTTTATTTTTACACGTAAATTATAAATTGCTTAGTTGTTTCTTTTTGTTTGTAGATATAAAAGAATTAATTAACATTAATGAAAGTTGCACCAGTAGTGCTGAAAAACTTACAAATTATTTAAGCTTTGGAAATGATAAAGCTAGAGATACAAACAGCTGTAATGATCAAACGATGGCAGGTGTTATTAATTGTTCAGATCACACAACACATGCTTTTCATGATATTAGTCATGGCAGTAGTATTGGTGATGTTAGTATAGTTAATAATAATTGTAGTAGTCTAAACGATCTTTCTGGAATGCCACCTGCTTTGGAATTTAATGAGAATACTGTTGTTGTTATACAAGGCCGAATAGGTCAAGGATTTTATGGTGAAGTTTATAAAGGTATGCTGGACAAAAAAAAAGATACAGAACCAGAAATAGTGGCTGTAAAAAGGTTAAAAAGTCATACTTTAGAAGCCAATGTGCATGATTTTCAAAGGGAGATATCTATTATGAAGGTAAATAAAATGATATCGCGTTAGTTTTTTTTTTCTTTTTAGTTTAATATAGCTTTTATTCATAGCTTATTTATTCTCCTTTTTCTCATGTATTGTGCAGACTTTAAAACATCCAAATGTCGTAGCAATTTTGGGCGTTATAACAGAACCTGAATTATATTTAATAATGGAATATGTAAAACATGGATCACTTCAAAGTTATTTGACTTTACATGGACAAAATATTTCTCATGGAAAATTGCTTGGTTTTGCCTTAGACATTGCCACTGGCATGGATTATCTTGGGCAAAAAAAAATTGTTCATAGAGATCTTGCCGCAAGAAATATATTAGTTGCAGATGAGAGTAGAGTAAAAATTAGTGACTTTGGTTTGGCTCAAGTAACTGGAAATAATGATTATTACATACTTCAAACTATTAGAGATCTTCCAATAAAATGGTTAATATATATTATCTTTATATCTATCTTCTTGTATTTATAGTCTTTATACTATTTAAAGTTAAAAATTTAAGTGAAATATATCGTTTTTATTATATTACAGGTATGCCCCAGAAAGTTTAAGAGATGGCAAATTTTCAGCACGTTCAGATGTTTGGTCCTTCGGAGTAACAATGTATGAAATATTTGGCTTAGGTGAAGATCCAAAGTTACCAGCTATTGGTTTAGATACAAGTGCAAATGAAATCAATGGTATAAAAACAGTTTTAGAAGATGGAGCTGCTGAATTATTAGCAGCTCTTGAAAGAGGTAGTAGGCTTCCTTGTCCGCCAAATTGTCCACAACATATTTATGTTAAACTTATATATCCGTGTTGGAATTTGCAAAGTCACAAAAGACCGAATTTTGCATCTCTTTGTAAAAATATAAGAGAATTTCTTAACTATTATTAAAGTATATTTAAGGAAATAGTTTTAAATAATAATGTTCCTTAAGGAATAAATATCTAGTCGACGATTTTTGTCGCGACGTGTTATGTATTACAAATATATTCAATATTTTGTTTTAAAAATGTTTCAATGTCCACGTTATATCCTTCCCCAATTTATAAGTCATAAGCATTACTTATCTACAGTGGGTGATTGATTTAACAAACAGATTGGACAAAGAACAAAATTTTGATCATTTTAAACAAAATTTTTTTATGTATATTAACCGACCACCAATTGTATTATTTACATTATTTTTTGTTTTTACATGGAATAGTTAAAAAAAAAGAAAATCAATTTTTATTCATTTATAAGCCAAGATAAATTTCTACCTAATTTTATTTGCGTATAATGAATTTATTTTTAAACTTAAAAAAATGTAATTATTTCTATAAAAAGAATCAAATTCTCTATTGCACAATATAATGCATAGGAACTCTCACCTATTACATGTATAAAATCATAAATAGATAAATAGATAGATAGATAGATAGATAGATAGATAGATAGATACATTTTACTGCTTCCCCGAAGGGTTACCCTCCTTTTACAATTATATCCTTAACCTATCTTAACACTACTCTCTCCCTCACTTCTTCTTTCCTCCTTTCCCCCTCCACTCGTCCCACACCCCCGCTTCTACTTCCCTCACTCCCAACCTTGTCCCTCCTTCCTCTCTCTTATACTCTCAACCCTCTTCATCCATTCTTCCCCTATTCCACTCTCGTCCAAAATCTCTTTATAAAATCATAAATATTTATGTTATATAAAAAAAAATTAATACTTATATTAACTTTAAATAAACACTAATTAATGTGTTCACTAAGTTTAATATTAATGATCATAGATGGTTCTTCAGTATTATTCAAACTTTCTCTAAATAATTGAGCATGTTGCCAAGCTATATCACCCTTTCCACCAGAAAGTTTGACCGTAATATTTAACTGTTTTGCTCCTTTTAACTTTTCCGTAGTAAAATCATTGGACGTAGAAATAGGAATAATTATAGAAGTATTTTCATTCTTTATAGAAGGAAAAATACCTTCCACTTCCCAAACAATTTTTGCATTATAAAAAACTGTTGTTTTGGCTTGTAAATTGAATGTATTTACATATAAGTTTGGATTACGAACTTCAAATGACCATTTTAGGTATCCATATTCAGCATCTGCTGAACGAGTTAAATATGCCATTTTCCAATCATTTTCTACTTTATGAAAAATTCCACCTTCAACAGAACTTAATCCCTCTCGCCAATCATATTTCTGTTCTAGAATATGACCATCAGAATGTATGACTTTGTACATATTTTTAACAATAAAATATTGAAGAATAAATGATTTGCCATGTTTGGAAATATCCCACGTATAACTTTTATCTACACTGTGCTTGAATCAAAATCAAAAATAGAAAATTAAGTTAAAAGAAAAGTAAATGATGATAATTAATATAAATTCAAATGTGATAAAATATTTCTTCGTACCTGGCTTGCTTCTCCTCGAGCCATTCTCCATGCATAAGAACCTGTTGTTCTTTCACTATAAATATTATTATCATATTTATTTGGAATGTTTGGAAAATTGAGCATTCCTACAAGCTCTCGAAGGCGTCTTTTAATAACGTATTGTTTACGTGCCATACTATAGCCTACAGAGTTTTGACGTTTTTCATTTAACGATTGAATGAAATTTAATAAATTTTCTTCTGAACACTTTTTTCTCTTTATCATTACATTATTTTGTTTTCGCGTATAACGCCAAGTAACGTCTTGAACTTCGTCTCGTGAATAAGCTATTATGTAACTTAATTTTTTATTCCAACCACGTTCATACATTAATGGCTGATCTATTACATTTTCACATGGATCTATATGTATCCATCTATTTTCAGTAACAGACCATATCTACCAAAGAATAAAAAATTACTTAGAATAGTAATGGAAATGTATAAATTTTACATGTATATATTATTTTGTACATACTTCTGTCCAGAGATGATCTGTAACATCATACACAAGTCTTGCATCATAATTTAGTGCACGACATAAAAGTGTGAATACATTTGCCCACTCTCCGCAACGTCCAGATCTAGTAGTTAACAATATTTCTGGATCGCTATATCGTGGAAATTCCACTATTGTTTTACAAATATTACATCTGAACATAATAAATGTTAATTAATATATAATAGGATATACTTTCAAATATTTGTAATAATTATTTAAATGAATACCTATGAGCTTCTATACGGGAACATTTTGGATCTGAAGAAGGTATTACATATTCAAATGAACATTCTGTATAACAAATTGTACATAATGGACTATCAACCCATTGAAAAAAATCATATTTGAACCAATGCAGAAGTTCCATTAAAAATAAATCTATTGAATTTACTAAATCTTCTTTTAAAGCTGAATCTGACTTCATTTCTTTATCAAGTGTAGCAAGTTTTATGTCTCTGTGAAAATATAATAAATGTATATATGTAGAAATAATTATGAAAAGAGGAAAAAAGAAAAATATCTGTACTTTTGAAATTTCCTTAATCTTTCCATCGTCTTGATTTCCAATTGTACGATTGGTATTACTTTTCTTGCTTTCTCTTGTAAATCACAATCTTCATATCGCATAACATTATTAAACTGTTGGGTAATTGTATTAAAAAATTTGTCTTCCTCAGATAATCTTGCAGATAATTTTGTTGATTCTTCAACTGTATGTTTCTGATTTAAATTTGAAGTATTTGATTTTGATGAAACAATTGAAGATAGTAACTTTTTTAAAGTTTTCAGTTTTGTGAGAGATGCAGTCTTTGGAAGACTAAGACGATCACCATCCTGTTCGTTTCATTTATGATAAAATATATAAGTTAATTTTCTAGACTATGTTTATTTACATCTTTTAGTATTTCTCATTACGTCTTTCTGTACCTCTGTAAAACCTATTTCGAATAAACATTCCATGGCACCACTTGCTGGAAGTAACTTTTCTGTGATGTTTGAATCACTGAGATGAATTATACGATAATTTTCTTCATCAGGAAAATGTAAAATCTTTTCACAGAGTCTTGAAAGTACACATCCAGCATTATTCCGAATAGTGATTTCATTTTCATTTAACATATTTACATAACGATGTAAATGTTCATCCATTATTTATATGATATGAATAAACAATTCTATAAAAAAAATAAAATATTAAAGTTTATCTGAAAAAATTTAAATAAATTACATTATTGCTTGTTCTCATTTACAATGAAACAAAATTTGAAGCAATCATACCTTTTCATTTATTTATTGATATGTTTATTAAAAGAAAGCTATTGCCTGTTGTATCAATTATTCAAACGAACAACTAACACCAAGTTTCAAAAATGTCACATTAAATCTTTATATAGGTAAGTGATTAATTAAAAAGATATATATATAGATATATATATATTTTTAAAAATTTATGATAAAACTTGACAATTGTACTGTCATTCTGTTGCTAAGGTTATTTAAACATAGATTATATTTCATCAAGATGGTCCTTTGACTGAATATATATTTCTTCTAAAGTTTTAATATTATATATTTTATATAATATTGTTATATATTATTGTGACATTTTTATATTAAATAATTATACTATAAAATATTTTTCCATCAAATTGGAACGGTGTAAAAATATTATCAAATCTTTGTATTCATAGAAACAAAGCTTTATGCTTACAAATTCAATTTTCAAGATGGCGCTTTTAAAAACAGATCAGTAGGGATCCTATAGGAGGGATGCGCCATGTACATTGTTGGGGGACCGGAACTCGATTTTGCGCGTGAATGATTCAAACATTGAAATAATTATGAAATAATGAATTGCATCAAATACAGAAAAAAATGAACTATATTTAATGATAATTAAAAATTTATATTAAAATAGAATAGGTTACATGAAAAAATTATTATAAATTCAAGCGGTCCCCCAAAATTTTCAGCCAATGGTACATGAGCTGAATATGAATGGCGCATCCCTCCTACAGGATCCCTACAGATCAGGACAGTAATTTTAGTTGTTACTATTACAAATTGGTGGAAGAAGTATATTAAATTTCAATAAACGTGAAATAAATATTTCTTATATTTTAGTTAAATAATTAAAATCAAATAGTGTTTTTAATAGTGAAATCCAGTAATATTAAAGAATAAGTATGGATGTTGATTATAAAGATTTATCACACGATGAGGAGCTTATTTTGAGGTTAAAACAATTTCATGAAGCAACCTTAAAATTCGAAGAAAAACTTGATCTTATTAATAATCCTGATTTATATGATAAACTTTCTAATAGTGACAAAATTAAATATAATTTATTAATGTCTTATAGTCTTAATAGCATGTTCTGGATGTATTTACGTACTAAAGGTAAATGTTTAACTGCTTACGTGTGTAATTTTAATTATATAAAATATAATTATACAAATGAGTATATTAAATAAAATTTCTTTCTTGTTTATAGGTATTGACCCATCGAAACATCAAATTAAAAATGAAAATGATAGATTAAAAAAATCAATGATACGTGCAAAACAAATTGAAGATAAAAAGACACTTATGCCACGTATAAATAAAAATGCAGCAAAAAGATTTATAAGGAATAGTTTATGGGAATCAAAAGTAAATGATAAAGATAATAATACCGTGATACAGCCTACTGTGAAAAATTTTAATTGAATTTATAATTGACATTGTATATCAGTATACATCAATGTATTACTTCTTGTAATATTTTGTACATTTTTTTAAATTAACAATTGTAAATAATAATAAAACTATTTACATCTTTTTTATAATTAACATTAAAGAGAGTTTAATTTTTATTTATTTTATTAAGACCATGCCTAAAATTGTTGCTGAATGTATGAAAATATTTCTCAAAATTATTTAAATTATTTCAATGGACATAACAGTAAAAATATCTTTCTTCAGTTATTTTTTTAAATAAAAAAAATGACTCCTACATGAAATATGAGTGATGCATATTTAATTCATTCCAGATAGAAACATTTTTTGCAAAGATGGACAATACTTTTACAATGAATAAAGGGTTACCATCTATCTAGAGGTAAAACTTGACACAAAATTGAAAAAGGAATTACTAGCGCCTCTAGTGTTAAAGTTAGATCAAAGAAACAAATTTGATATTTTAATTATTAAATAGTAAAACATTATATTAACATTATTTTTGAAAATGTACAATTACCGATTCAAAATAGTGAGTTGAAGATTTTAATAAAGTTTCTTTTTTGAAATTCTTTTCAAATGTCAAAATGGCGACAAACATGCAATCCGATTTCCAATGTTGCAATAATCGTTTACTTATCATATAACAGAGACGACATACCAATCTATTATGTGTAATCTGTGGTCAAAGTGGAGATTAGAATTAGGCAGAGCCGTATATATGAATCGGTATACATGGTTAAATCAGTCAGTAGATAATTGTTAATTATTGTACTATAATATTGTAATTATTTAGAATAAAATACTATAATGATTTTGCTTGAGATACATAATAGGATACTAGAAGAAACATTAACGAATAAAATAAAAAATGCCTTATCAGGGTAAGTACAATGTTTTGTTCATTTAACTTTAAGTATTTTGTAGTACTATTGTAAGAGCTTTGTGAAAGATTATGAATTAGGGCGGTGTCCACGTTACTGTTTATCACATTTATTTGATTATTATTCACAAATATTGTAAAAGTGAAATATTCATTAAATATCTGATTACACCGAATTAACTAATTTTGAATTAAAGGTAATAGTAATATAACTTTATGTTTTGACATTTATTGCTTTATTACAAGTTAATTTATACGTAAATATGTTTTAATATTAATTAATAACTTTCAAATATTTAATATAAAGAAGATTATAATATTATAAAAACTAGAACAAAAAATCATCAAGAAAATCATTATTTTTCTTCAATTATAACTGTATATATCAGTTATTTTGTTTCTTTTAATACACAATGTTAAATTTTATAATATCATATTATTATTTTATTGCAGACATAAACCAGAATCAACGGATGTGGTTATAGCAGATTTTGATGGTGTTTTATTCCATATTTCAAATTTAAGTGGTGACAAGTCAAAAATTAGAGTAAGTTAATGCATAAATTTACGATAAATCTAACATTAATCAATTTATGAACAAATCTTTTTTACAGATTAGTATTTTACTTAAATTTTATAAACAACTGCAAGAACATGGAGCAGATGAATTACTGAAACGTGAATACGGTCCTCATCTTATTGCTCCAGAAAGTGGTAACATTTTTTTATATTATATCTTTCAATCTGTATGGAAGAAAGAAAGCTAAAAATGAAACTGAAAATATCGAAAAATATATTTTAATCTTTCATACTTTCTATATGCTTTTAGGTTATAATGTGTCAGTTTTGATAGATTTGGAAAATTTACCAGAAGATTGGGAAGCTTTAGTGAAGAAAGTTGGTCTGTTAAAAAGGCATTGCTTTGCAAGTGTATTTGAAAAATATTTTGATTTTCAGGAAGAATATTATGATTCTCCTGGTACACAAGTTCAAAAGAGAGCAGTTATTCAGTATAGAGATCAAGAAACAATGTGAGCTTTTTAAAATGCTCAGAGTGCAAAAGATTAAAGTAAAATAAATATAATTTTTTCTTTGACAATGTCTTCTTTGATTCAAGGTATGTGGAAGCTAAAAGCGATAGAGTTACTGTAGTATTCAGTACTATATTTAAAGACGAAGATGACATGGTTATTGGAAAATTATTTCTACAAGAGTTAAAAGAAGGTAGACGTGCTAGTCATACAGCACCACAAGTTTTATTTAATCATCGAGAACCGCCATTAGAATTACAAGATTCAGAAGCAGCGGTAGGAGATTGTATTGGATATATTACATTTGGTAAATATAATATTTTTTAAATTAAACATGTGATTTGAAATTATTATTATATCTTATCTTACTATTTTTTAAAATAATGTATTTGTTTTCAGTATTATTTCCACGACATACGAACAGAGAAGCACGTAACAATACTATTGATTTAATACACATGTTCAGAAATTACTTACATTATCACATTAAGTGTAGTAAAGTTTATATTCATTCACGTATGCGTACTAAAACTACAGATTTTCTAAAAGTACTCAATCGCGCAAGATCTCAAACAAAAAGTACTGAAAAGAAAACAATTACGTGAGTATTTAATATAATTATGTTTATATATTATATAATTGTATTATATTAAGATATTTATATATTTAACATATTTTACAGTGGTCGGACATTTATAAGGAAAGAATGAGTTCGTATAAAAGTTAACAGTACTGAAACAGTTCTAAACGCGAGATAAACGAAATGTTTCATTTATCTCATAATTTCGCTGACAATTCTTCTTTTTTTTTTGGTAACACATCACGTGGTTTATTAACAAAGACTTTGATTACTGTCTTATGAAATTAGTAAACCAAAAGTTCTTCTTCATGTGTAATATCAATTGTAATTTTTTTTAAAACAGTGAAAGATATTTTAAGTATATGTTTACAATTCTGAAAATATATTGATAAATTATTTCAAATTTCTTTTTTACTAAATTTATATATACATATATACATTTATAATTTTTTTTTTAAACAAATTTTTTTTATAAATATTTTTATTAAGTTGAGAAATATCTATAAAAGATATACTACTTATGTAACGCTATTTATTGCAATATTTTCATATTTGATAAAATATTGCTCAGAATATTATTAGTCATGAAATTAATTAATGAAATTTAGAATGATTTAAAACAGATTTTTCAAATATGTCGTCTTGTCTATTAAAAGTTCATTTATATAGTATATATGTTTCTCTATAATTATTTAAAGTAAAATTAATTTATATATATATCTAACAATTCGACTGAATTTTACAAAAGACATTGCAAAAAATCGAATGGGATTATAAAAGATTACGTTACTTTATAAATATTGTTAAATAATACAAGCAAATGCTATTATCTTTTAAATTGCAATATTGTTTTTTAATAAATTAATTATTTTTATTGTCTAGCCTTTAGTTATTATTTCGTAACAAATTATTATATAATAATAAAAAAAAAGTGTTATATATATATATATATATATATATATATATATATATTCATATTAATTTTGAATATGATTTTAAATGCACTTCTGAACCTTCTTATGTTTTTATTAATTTTGTTAAATAGTCTTTTCTTTCTTTAGTATTGATTTCTAAAAGAGTATAAGATGAAAAAAAAAATACACAGGGTGTAAAATAGGGAGTGCCAAATAAAGGTATTCATTAATAACCACACCCCTTTATCTAACACTAACATAAAATAACATTGTATTGCTTTTAATGCTTCAGTCATAAGCATTCTTTCAAAGCGAATACATCATATAGCATGTGTACAAAAGTATCCTATAGAATATTACAAAAATAATGATTTATAAATGAAGTGTACATTAACAACAAATATTTTAATAATATTGTTTCAAATTCCCGTTCACACTTGATTGATCTTTGTGCTTACTTGTCCTCACTTATGTTAAAATCAATCTGAAAAATCGATAAACAAATCAATAACGAGCAATCTCATTTATCAATGAATTCAAACCTCGTGGCTGTTACATCAAACTATTTTAATAGATGCACGTGCAAATAAAGTTTTTTCTTACGGTCATTCAAGTTTGTAACATTCAGACTTTTTCTAGCTGTCATTCATCTTAATACCAACTCATCCATATCACTCAAAGAACAATCTCATCATACTTTCGTGAACCGTGAATGTCTTATGCACAGGTACCGCGAGTATTTTAGCTTACTCGATAAAGTTACGGTCATCGTACTTTTCAATTCACCCGGTATATACACACTGATATCTCGTAAGACCTGACAGTTTTATAAACACGAGTATAAACATCATATAACTTCGTTAACTACTACGAGTAAACACTCCTGTACGATTCACACATACAGTCACACATATACATAACACCTTGCAAAACCACTGATCTCTTGTACAGGATCATTCAAAATAAACTTGTATATAAACGTCAAACAAGGTACAATATTAAATAATTCAAATATGTAGCTTAAATATTTTCAAATAATAATTACAATTAATATGACTTACTTATTTGAATTCTAAACTTATAGAATTTATGCAAATGGAGATTAACCAGACCACTGTAGAATCAATTTTATTATCATCGTCCAGTATTTCACCATGTTCTGCAAATGAAATTGCTATAAGACCAGGTGACTGCGTTGAAAGAGGTGTCGAAGGATGGCTTGAGGATGAAACTTTAGCAGGATTTCGCGTTTGGCATTTGGCAGGAATAATTTTATCTATTTTACTTAGCATAATTATTGGATTATGTTGTTGCATTCGATTCAGAGTACCAAGAACAAAACAGGAAATAGAAGAGGATTATATTAGAAAGAAAATAACAAGAACTTTTAGAGAGGAGTTATCCAAAGTTAAATTTTCAGAAATGGATGAGATGGATTTACGATTAGGTGAAATAGATTTATATCCTGTAAAAGATTTGACAAAAAATTAAAAAAATAATTGAACATATAAATTATCACTTACTTATTTCTCAATTAAGTTTAATGTATAAACATAATTTTTTTTATGTCATTAGCAGTAGACGTAATACGTAATGAAGTTAATGCTCTAGTATGTGGATTGCAGAAGGAGGATGAAAAAAATGCAAATGACAAACCTGAAGAAAGTGTACAAACACGATTTAATACTTTATTTACTGGTAACCGTGACCATCTTGATAATAAATGGTAAATGGAAGCGCACTGATAGTAATAATATAATTTAGAATATTTTTAAATAAAAGACATTATAATTTAACGACACTTCCTTTCATTACTTTACTGGACAAATATAAACTTATTTTTTATGAAGAAATATCAATTGTAATATATTAAATAAATATTGAAAAAGTGCACAATATATTTTTGGGAGTGAACAAGCCAACTCCAGTAAAAATAAGTTGACTAAATATAAGCTTTATTTTATAGATATAGTACACAAATTATATTACCTTGCATGCAACAGTAATTTATAGTCATAGATTATGTAATTCAGAGCATTCAATGATACTATGATAATAGTATGTGTATATGTATGTATGTATTATTGTGTATATGTATGTATGTATTATTGTGTATATGTATGTATGTATTATTGTGTATATGTATGTATGTATTATTGTGTATATGTATGAATGATGTATGTATGTGTGTGTATATGTATGTATGTATGTATGGATGGATGTATCTATGTGTATATATATTTAACATTATTATATTATTAATCGGTTGCTTTCATTACAAAATTAAATCTATTTAAAATTTTGTAAAGTAAAATCAATTTATATATACGTGCTATATTATGCATAGTCATAAATAAATTTTATCTAAAAGGCGAAGTGATCACAGTAAGTATTATAAGTCATATATATATATATATATATATGTATTTATATATATATATTTTTGTTATGATTGTTAAAATATATTTACTTTGTCCAATTATGCATGTAATTTTTGAATGTGTTTTTATAATTTCTATTTGATTATTTTCATAACTAATTTAATATTTCTGTGCATTGAGATAAAAATTTTGAAATAAGATTGAATTTTATAATACAGGATGATTTAACAAGGGGTATCTACAAATTCACAAGCATATGTGCATCGCAATTAAGAAAAAAGTTGTAAATTATTAATGATTACGGAAAAGTATAGATCACGTATGTTCTATAATAATAGACTTAAAAATTAATTATTAATAATGATTCAGTATATTAATTTTGAACTTTTAGTATTTTCTTTTAGGACTTTTGTCTTAGTTTTGATGTGTAGAATGCGCCAGTAAATTTTTTAACAAACTTTTTTTTTTAAATTAATCTGTATAATTTTATTAAGAATATCCAGACTTTATCATAAATATTATTATTATTATTATTATTACTATTATTATATTAACGATATTTTTATAAAGCTTCCATGTGAAAAAATACATAAAAATATACGCTAATATTTCATTGAAATAAAAAATACAATAAAATTACAAACTCATAAATTATTTTATTAATTACAAGTTATAAAACAAACAGTTTAAAAAACAAAAGTGAATTTGATAAAAAATCTCTTTTGTATTTGCACATTTACACTAACTGCAAAAATATTGTAGAAGAATAAGGTAAAAAAGGAAATTAATTTGCTAATTGATATTTGTACTCTATTAAATAGAGTATTAATATTTTTTCAATTACATCAAAGTAACAAAGCAAATTATGATTTTACATTTTCATTTTCTTTTTTTTTTTCTTTTCTTTTTATCATACATGCGTTCTATATACTTTTTCGAATTAAAAGATCACGATTCATTAATCATTTTTTCGCAGTTGTATGAACATACTGTAAATCGGACATAGGAATTATAATCACATACACAGGAATAACTATCGTAAAATTTGAACTATTTTTAACTAGCTAAATTTAATAACTCTGATTCAGTTTTAGTTCTTAAATCAGTAGAATATATATGCCAGGAATGACCAAGTTTTGCAAAGACAATATAGCAAATTGTTGCTCACACGCACACGTCCATTTTTTAATTAAAATAAGTAGTAAGCATGTTGTATATACATTTTCTTTTTTTTTCTTAATCAATTAATTCTTTTTTTCAATTAAATTAAAATTAAAAAAAAAAATAAATGATTACAAAAATTGTAATTAATCAATAAATTGTATATATAAACAACTATTTACAAAAATATATATTGTAACAAAATTTATAAAATAATAAATCACGTCACTTATTATACGTATCACAAATCGAGCATTCCTGGTATATCAGAATCATCACAAAGCACGTTAGAGATATAATCGATGTAATTCTTAAATTTGTACACTATCATACTGCTTATTATTTTTATCTTCGCTAATATGATGTTTTCCTTGGATATCATCTCTTCGAGACGTATTTTGTTTAGAAATATAACTATCGTAATAATCTTATTAAAAAGTTGATTGCGAACAATGGGTGTGATACGTAAGATGAGCAATTGATTACAACACATATTTGTAAAAGAAAGAAAAGAGAACAAATTATGGCAAAAATTTACTTACGGTATATTATTCTTACTTATTTGATTAAGAAATATAACGAAAAGGGAATATCAGGGAAAAATAATTTCATGAAGATCATTGCAACAACAACAAATCTCACTTTCTTTTTCTATATTGTACTGGGTATCATGTACTTCTGATCTTTCTTCTTTATTTTAAAAATAAATCATAAACGAAATAAACTACAAATAGTGTGTTGTACAGGACAAAAATTTTATTCGTATTGGTTTATCGATAAAAAAGAATATTAAAGAACAAATTACTGCTATACATGTTGATGCAATCTAAAAAAAAAAAAAGAGAAAGAATACTTCTTGGACTAGAAGATTCAACATCATAGATAATGTAGCGGCATCATGCAAAATAATACAACAGACGACTCTACTCAGCGAACAACAACTAAAAATATAATATTGTGAATGATTTTTCTTTCTCTCTCACATACATACACACGCATGCTTACATATACATACGTAACACTCATCTCTCCGCATATACTCATTCTCCGTTCATTCATTCTTTCTGTGTTCATTTTTTCCTTTCTTTCTTGATAGCATGATTAAATAACTACATCTTATGATGCTCGTTAATTTCTAACTGCATGCGCTTTCCTCTATGACCCTATTTATCATCATTTTAAACGGTTTTAAGGGTGATAGATTTGGTGACATGCGAGTGTAACGTTAACAGGATTCCTCTAATTGATGATGAAGAAGAAGTAGAGTTGGGGAACTCGCTACGAGGTAAGAGAGGTTTTCTTTTTGTAGTCGTCCTGCTATTTCGACCGATCGGCATCAAACCGTACTTGCCGCGCTATTTTTTTTAAGCGGCCATCGCGCCAAACGATCGTTTAAGCGTGTCTTCACGATATCTTATTACGCCACCAAGAGAACTTCATTTTTGGGCTCAAATACTGAAAGCCAATAACTGTTTGGGGAATTAACGAGAGGATTGGTAAGAAACTTCCGCAGCTACGACTCTTTGGTTCCTCGTCTTGCGTTTCTGTTTTTACTGTTCCACTTGCTGTTTTTTGACAAGGCGTTGAATATGGGTATGGTGTTGATAATGGATTACATGTTATATGAACATCTTCGATATTCCATTTGTTTTTTGAATTTGCAATACTGCTATCGTTTTCCTTAGACTTTTCACTACGCGTTTCAGCTTGGATAGGACATTTTTCGGGTGTCTTTCTATACTTATTTGCTTTCGACAGGATACATTTGCTGTTGTTAGTGGTATTCATTGTTTGTATATTAGAGACAACATTAAAGTTGTCTATTGTAAATGTAGAGAGATCAGACTGTAAATTTGATTTATTTGTGGAAGATTTTAAAGATGCTTTTCGATATACCTTCGAACGTGTTAAGGGTTTAAAAGTTAATTGCGGTGATGAGACAGAACGAAAACACTGAGCATTGTTAGCTTTTTTAAAATTGGTACAATGGTCATCATCAGATCTTATACCTGAATTTGTCATGATAGATGTCATTTGAGATTTCTGAGTTTTTTTATCAATTGGCATAGAGTGATAAGCAAATGTGGAAGAGGATATGGTATTTTTCTGAGTAATCTCACAATTTTTAATGGTGCTCTCACTATTCTTTCTTTCATTATTTTCTGTCATATATGAAACTGATACAGCAATGCCTTTTGAGTTGAAATTTGATAATTTTGGTATTAAGTTTATAGATTCATTACTAGTTTCCAAATGATTTAAAGAATGTTGTGGTACAGGTGAAGAATTAATAGGTGAAATAATATAGGAAAGAATTTGCGCTTCATTTGTGCCTGTCACTGCAGGGACTAATGAAGCGTCCATGAACCCTCAGCTTGGGAATCTTGAATAAAATGCACAAGTCAAATCATAATTTTTGAAACGACGATATTGTGCGTTGGTACGTAACCAATTTTCAATGGAATTCAAATAATCATTTTGCTCCAATTTACGTGGATAACCAGCAGCAATAGATTCCTTGTTGGCAAATACAGTTATTACAAATTGTCCAGGATTAAATGTGTTAAGTACACGTCGTATTACATCTTCATAAGAAGCCTCAGGAATGTTACTTTCAAATGAAACATAAGAAAACTCTGGTTCTGGTGTGATGTGAATGGTCATATAATTTCCCTAGAAAAAAACAAATCAATTATTGTAATAAAATATATGTAATAAAGTATATATACATATATATAATCTATATCAGCGTTTCTCATACATTTTATCACATGAGAATTAAGAGATTGGTTTAAACCGCGGTTCAAAATTTGCATATTTAATGATAACCTTCTTTTCGCAATTTCTTACAAATTAATTTTTCATGAAAAATGTTAAGAGCAATCTAGATAGATTGAAAAACATTATATTTAGATGCTTACATTTTTGGAAATACCATTCATGGAATAACCACAGGGTTCAAATAAAAAATCATCTATAGTCATATTAGGAATGAGTTTATCGATTCTTGACTTTTGAGTAGCTTCAGCAGCAGAAGAGCACACATCTCGTGTAAAAATGGCCATTACATTAGGATCTAAATGAGTCATAAGAATCTCTAGTGTTTGATCTGGTTCTACTTTTTCTTGTAAGGACTTTTCTCTGTTTAGAGTGTATAAATACCAACTGTCTGTGTTGCCGGTAGATCCTAAACAATAGACTTCTCCATCTAAAATAATAAATTATATATTTCTTTTTCTTAAATCTCATTTATAGATGAATGTATAATATGTTGATTAAAGTATATATTTTATTACCATGAAAATAAGTATTGAGTAAGGTAACTTCTTCTGTGAATGCTTGATGTGGTGAAATTTGTAATTCCGGTCGTTTATAATTTTTCCGTGAATAAAAGAGATCCTGAAACAGACGAGAAACAGGAAAAAAACTAATGTGGCAGTCATAATGAATATAAATGCTATAGTATATTCATTTTTTTCCAAATTTTTTGCGTTGTTAGTTAACTGTTATAATATAGGAATGTCAATTAATTTTTACGCATAGTATATCATGGCTTAGAGAGATCAATAAACTAAGAGGTGAAAATGTATTTTGTATGTCAGAGGTTTTCTATATATAGGCACATCACTTAACTATGCACTAGGTCAAGTTATATAGTCAAGTACTTTCATCTTCTACATTCTTGCAAAAAATGATGCATTTCTTTGATGATAGTATACTATGCATATTTATTTTCAATCAGAAAATAGTGTATATATGGATCAGTAAGGGTAACAAGTTTCTTCTCAATCGTTTTTTAATCTACCCATGTAATAAATTTATAGAATCATTTTTAAAAACAAATGATATTTGTAGAAATCAAAACATACCTCTACTTCGTCAAAACCAGTGTATTGTTCAACAAGTTTAAGGAGAGGTTCCAAACATTGTAAAGGTGTTGTTGTACCACATGTCTTCAGGATAAGTCTGCGCTTTGATAGGAACATACTACTTTCACTGAAAAATATTAAATTTCATTTTTTTTTTAGATATATATATTTAATTAAATATATTATAAATTATATTAAGTATCTTATATGCTTACTTATATATAAATAAAATTAAATAAATATAACTCTTTTGATGCATTAAAATTAAATGTAATAATAATCAAAATAAATACTGATGCAAAAAGCAATAATGCACAATTATATACAAATCTATACAATTCATTGCACTGTACATAGTATATATAAAATTTGCAAATATGCCAATTACATAACATGAGAAGGAGATTGCGGGTTACAGCGTGATTTGAATTTTCGCGCGCGGGAAACGAATATTTTTATAATGGAATAAAATGAAGGAAAAAAAAAGAAAATGACCAAGTAATCAGTAAAGTTCGATGATGAATGGTTAAACGGATATATCAAGGGTTAATTGATAAATAATAATTTATCACGACCGATTAAAATTATCTCTCGAAATATATTTTATAAGAAAAAAATTAGGTATCATCGCCTTTTAAATACTAATTGTAAACGCAAGGTCACCAAAGAATGAAAGTTATTAAAAGATAGTTAGTTGGCGTCCACTGGTCCGTTATATTTTTAGATTTAAGTTAAACTGCTTTTAGCTAACAACGGATAAAGATATTTCATGATAAAATATCTTTTTTCCGAATGTATTTCGAATTATTGTGCATTTGAATAACGTAGTGACTGAGAGGAATTACTGGCTTATGATACGAAACTACTACTGACGTTTTAAAATTATAATATCGAAAAAATAAAAAATGTATTGGCACAGATTACATTTTTCTATATAGCATTTTTTATAAATTTATAAAAAATATGATTTAAAAAAATATATATATATACGCAACAAATAATAGCTTGACCAGTAAGTAATGGCGGAATTTTGTATGTTTTATTTTTTATTGTATTAGTTTATATTTAAATAAAAATATCAACATTTTAATTTTGCCAATCCAATAATTAAACTTTAAACTTGAAAAACAAAAACATGAATATAAAAAAAGTATCATACTAATTACAAATTTTCAGAGAATGTTATAGGAAAATTTAGCTGCGGCCATATTTTTGCTTGGTACCTCTGTACCTATATATATATTACGGACAATAAGTAAAATGAACAGGTATTTTACAAAGTCCTCTGTGAACATTCTATTTGAATCTTTTTCCTGCAAAGCAAATGATATATTTATCAAAAAGTAATAAGCATTTTGACAAAAATAAAAAAACAACGTCGTTTAAAAGGTTATCAATGATTCACACTTTCACTAATGAAGCCATTAACCCCAAGATTTTCAGTGATAAGCGGATGCGATAACATTGATTAATGAATAATAGTACAATAATGTTATCTAAATGTATATTATTAAAAATAAATATGATAAAAGAAATATAAAAATAAATCAATGAATTATGTTTCACAGTATATTACGTCACATTAAAGATTAGTAATATAATTTGAAATATTAAAAGAATATTCTTCGTTCTATTATCTATACGTTTAATAACTCTTCAGTATTATCTTACATACTATTGTAAATTAGTATATCTAATTAAAAGACAACATTCTAATCTGTAGCAATATTGTTAATCTTATCGAAACAACATACTTGAAGTAAAGAATTATATTTGATTAAAATATCTCCTCCTCTTTTACTATTACGATTGATAAAAGATTTTGAATGTTATTTCTTCTTTTATGGGATAAAATTGTTACGAGAAAATATCATTTGACGAATAAACTAATAGAAAGACTTTATGAATCTATACGAAGTGATAAAATGTTTTGCTATCTTCTTGTAAGTTTATCAAGTCGACCTTAGCTTCTTAGGAAACATCGTCTCAATATTTAATTTAGAAATTCATCTCTCTTTTCACTTTTTATAGAAAAAATCAAAAGGAAATAACGAAAAGAGGAAAGGAAGAAAGAACTACAAAAAACTTCGAGTATATTCTAACTGTAAACGTGTCTCATTACTGTTTATATGCAGTATATAAAATGCATACGTATGTAATAATAATTATTATATATAATATTAATAATTATTATTATTATTATTATTATAAAACCAACGAAACGTGCATCAAGAATACAAAAAAAATTGATTTTTGAAAAGATAACATTTATTATTTGGCATTACAATAAAACATCAACAAATTAATCACTTAGACTACTGTAGCGAGGGTACTTTTACAATTCTACTAACTATTATTATAAAATATAAATTTTAAATTTATTTAAAAAAATGTATAGGCGTTAAAAGCAATAAAAGCATATTGTATATTCGCAAAAGCATTGCATATTATCATTCAAAATCTATATACTTGTTATTAATATGCCTAATAAATATACAACCTCGCTGTAATAGCCATTTACATTGTGCCATTTAAAATAATTGCATTGTTATTAGTTTTAATTCATTATATTATTAGTTTAATCTATTAATTAATAAAAGAATCTAATTAATAAAAGAAAGATTAGATTTTATATATGATTTTATTTATGACTGAGAGAGAAAAATAAATGAATAAATTGAAATAATTTGTAAATATAAATTTTCTAATACAGTTGTTCAATAATTTGTTACATTTATACAATCAATATCATAGAAAGAATCTTATTGATTATTCTGAAGTGATTATACGGAACAAGATGTGTACTTTAATATTGAAGAAAGATAATTAAATTAAAAAACTATCAATTAGTATGTGATTTCAGTAGCACGAGACTATAGAAGATTAAAAAGCACCAAATTTGTAACAAAAAAGAATGTACATACGTGTATGTATACGTACTACAGTTTAAATACCAGAAATGAGACAGATAAAAGATAAATGTTAGAATTTATCACGTGTATAATATCTTAATTAAATAAAAGTTTGACTGAAATATATCTAAAATAATATTTTATTTACTAACTCCTTTGCAATTTGAAATGAAATAGTAACACAGATTAGATTTATCATTTCTAATGATAAAGATTATAATATGGAATGTGCAAGAGTTAACAATTTATTAATATTTAAACTGAAATTCTAAGTTATCTTAGGTTTTAAATTCAGCTTGATATTAGATATATTTTTTTTCTCAGTCACATCACTTCGAAACATTTTTAATCATTTTTAAACCGAAAAGGATAATTTTACACAGATAACTTGATAAGATTGTGTTTATATGATTATAATAACGATAATAATAATAATAATAATAATAATAATAATAATAATAATAATAATAATAATAATAATAATGTAGGTAAATAAAAAATAACGGTAAGGATGTGTATTTATTTGATTTGAAAAAAATAAACTAAATAATAAACTCGATAAATTATCTATTCGACAGAACGTTTTAAAACATACGATTAAAAATTGTTTTTCTTGAATTTATTTATACGTGCATCATTTTTAATATTTTATTAATATGAAATTATAATAATTACCTGAGTACATAGGCATCTATTTGATCATTTCGGCAAAAGCTGATAATTTCACATCGAACGATCTTCAGCAGTGATTCCCATTTTTGCCTGAAAAAAAAAAACAAATGAAATATTTTTAATTAATTTTCCATTAGTAAGATGTTTTTAAATTTAGTTATTTTAATATATGTTTACTTTGTAAAATATCACTGTTATTTAAAACAAATCTAAAAATATTTATTTTAAATATTATTTATTATTTTATATTAACACTTTAATGGTCGTACGTGTACGCAATCAAACGTCCCCAGAGGGTCGGTAACATTTTTGAAAAATATAATTTAAAACAACTTTATTAAATTCACGAAAAAACTAACATAAAAAAACAACAAATTTAATTTAATATAATTTTAAATATATAAAAAGTTATAAATAAATAACGGTTATTTCGGCTATCAGACACATGTTGTGTGAGCGGCCATTAAAGTGTTAATAATATTTATTTTTAAGGGTTTCTATAATAATAATAATAATAATAATAATAATAATAATAATAATAATAATAATAATAATAATAATAATAATAATAATAAAAAGTATTATATTAGGGTATAATTAGAATTAAGTATATTGTCAAGGGGAACGAACATGTAGGAGGGGGGGCCTTCGGGGTAAACACCCTAAAGGGGTATACCTGAAAAATAAACTTCTTCTTCTTCTAATAATAAAAAGTATAATTATTTTAATGATCAAAAATGAGTAAAAACAATTGGAGTATATGATAAGTAAAATTACTAAAGTAAGAAAAAAAAAAATTATGTAATACAATTAATTTGTAATGGTAAAAAAATGTAGGTCAATGCAATTATAATATATGTGCGGCTGGTTATCGCATAACAATAACACGTTTGTAATAATTAACGAAACAAAATGTTTTTTTAATATCGTCATTAACAAAAGACGATAAAAAATACAACTAAATACTTTTCAAAACCAACTAAAAATCCAAAGTCTAAAATCTGAAGAAAAGATTTAAAAAATATTTTTTTAAAGGGTTCTTTAAAATTTGTTTAAAGAATTCTTATCATCTTTATCAACTATTTGTTATAGGATAACTGCTTATGCACACTTACTTATATAAATTATCAGTTGAAAAAAAAAAATCATCGACAAACAAGTGCATCGTATTTATGAGTCATTGCTTCGTTCCAAAAATTCTAATCTTTTTAAAAAAACATAGTTAAGTTAATATTTATTCAAATTCAAATTCAATTTCAACATATGTAATATTAAATATAAATGTAATAATTATTATATTTATTATTATTTAAATTTGATGGTTGATTAGATTTATATAATATATATATATTATTTATATTATACATAGAATAAATTTTAAATTATTATATAATTATTCTATATTTTAAAATTTATATTATATATATAATTTATAATAAATTTTAAATAATATATATTTAATAAATAATATATAATAAAATATAAATTTATATATTTATATTATAGTATATAAATATATATATATTTTTTTTGTTATTAGATTTATTACTATTTAAATTACATATAGTATATTGCAACATGTTTTTTTTCTTCCCCATCAAATACAAACTTTTGAAAGTATTTCATTAATTTTTAATAAAAAGTCTGCTATATATTAATATTAATTATTTTTATATACATTAATTTTTATTCTTTTCCAGATCGTATTATATTTTTATAAGGAAATTATTTGTAAAAAATAAAAAATATCTTTGAAGTGATTGATAAAAATGAACGATACCTAAACAATTAATATTATAACTAATATAATGAAACGTCTACTATTTTTTTTTTATACAAAGAAGAAACGATCAGTATGAAGATCGATGATGCATTTGTTCGTTCGTGTGCATATCACAGTTGCATTTTTCTCTCTCTCTCTCTATTTCTCTTTCTCTTTTTCTCTTTTTCTCTTTTTTTGTACTTGAAGTCTCCTTCAAGCCTTTCACGTGTCATTGATATACAAATGACTCATTAATATGTTTTTATCGGATTATATAATACTACAATGGGATAAAAGAAATACGATATGAATCTTGATAAAATTCCATTCATTAAAAGTTGAGTAATGTTTAACTATTGTGTATCTTTCTTTTGAAGATTGATGATCCCACGATTCTTTTTTTTTATCACGATTATGAAATGAAATAAATCTTTAAAGATGTATTTTTTTTTGGTCAAGTAATTATATCTCTTGTTATTATTTCTAAAGAAGAAATATTTATATTAAATAAACAAATAAAATAAAATAAAAAAAAAATAAAAAAAAAATGATTTGATTGAAAATTGAATTAAAAATAATCGGTAATAAATTTTACGAATTATTTTTCTTTTTACATTCAAGGCTAACGAATAATTTCCACCACCACTTACAACATTTGATTATCGTCTTTTTTCGATAGAATTTATAATAAAAAGTAACTATAAATAAATGTATATATATATATAAAACTGGGGATATATTTTTAAACTAACGTTCAATGATGGATAAACAACTAAATTGATAATTAAATATTTTTTGATTTTGTTTAAAAATTATGCATCAATGCAAAAGAAAAAAAAATATTTTATCTTTATTTACGAAATCCACAAATTTTGTTTGATTGAAGCAACATCAACGTGTATGAAACCGTTCATCGAGCGTGTTTAATAAGCTTTCGAGGTTTTTTAAACATATTTGTAATATAAATAGAAGGGAACATCCTCGAGAGTTTTTCCAATGGTCGCGAGAACGTTCATAAGAGGTGTTTTATTTTATTCTTTATAATCGATTAACGCTCTTACGTTAACACGCTGCTTGCTTGCTTGCCGCCCTTTTATAGAGACACGTTGAATATATTTTTTTTTTCTATATAAAAAAAGAACTTTTCAATCGAATTTATATTAAAAATTGTAATAAAAACAATTAGAAAATATTTCGGAAATAAAAAACATATAAAATAAGATGAATATTATAATAAATAAATATAAATAATATATAATATTAGGGGGATCGAAAAGTAATGGCCGTTACTACGCGTGTCAAATTATTTCTAATATTTTAAATCAAAATACGATATTAAAAATTTGCATACCAGATAGAAAAAGATTGTTGATAAATATGATTAATTAATTTAGTTAATTAATTTTATTATTGATTATTAATAAAAACTTGTTTAAAAAATTTATTTGTTTGAATTTTGAGGTTAAAAAGCGACATTACTTTATGGGGTACACCTAATATAAAAAATAGTAAATATACATATAATATATATATATAAATAATATGTATAAAAAATATATATAAATATGTATAAATATTATAATATGTATAAAAATTCTTAACGTAATAATTTTTCTTCTTCATTTCAATTTCCAAGATTCAACAATGATATTACGTGACATGAGAAGAAGAGTTAAGTGAAACAATTTGATAAGACGGAAGTGATATATATATATATTATTATGTGTATATGTGTATCTCATTGCAAAATATATATAAGATGTCCAAGAGTAAATGAGAAGTATTTTATCATTGCTCTTCTTACCAGTTAACAAAAAAAAATATAAACCTATGTCCCATTTGATTTTGTTTTATAATCATATTTCATTTTCAACAAATACCATGTGATGTCTTGCTTTCATAAGAAATGGTCTTCTCCTTGCATCTGAATAAAATAAAACTATGTTAGATGGATGGTTTTACCCCAATGACATTGTCTATTCTCTTCAATATGTCCAGATGTTGCTCGAATGTGCGTCGTAAATTTTATTCTATTTTTCTTTCACAAGAAGACAACACTTTTGTACCCATCCATCTAACGAATGAATTATTGTAAGAAAAAAGTTTACTTTAAGCTCGAATATCAAGTTAAGTAGGACATATATTTATAGAAATCTTTTTTTTGTATTTTTTTATATTATTTTATATTGTTGAAATATTTCACATTTATTTGTTATGTATAAAGTATTGTCACAGACAATGCATAGATTTAATCATAGTAACATCGTTTGTGTGTTAGTCCTGTGAAAATGAATGATTTATAGAGGAATGGAATCTTTCCTAAAAAAATGTATCTCTTTGGGGACCCCCCCCCGGTCAAGACCGAACAATTTCTGAAGGAATCTAAAAAATCCTTTTGTTGATGTCTACAAGAGTCAGATAACATTCGAGGTAAAATGACAAAGATGAGACTCAACCAAATTCAACAGGGTGAAGAGGTTTGAATTCAATACGATTAAATATTCAAGAATATAAAGCTATTTTTCAAACTTTCAAGTATAAAATTGAAATATTAGATTGATCAATAAGTGATGGAGGATTGTAATATTTAAAAAAAAAAAAAAAAAAGGTTTTATCAAATTTATCAAAGTAATATAGTAATCATATTAAAGTTGAGTATATGGAGATCATAATAACACGAACATTGATTGTAATATCACGTAATATCTTTGTTAACTTGATTAATACTAGACAAGACAATATAAGTAAGTACTTGGTTTGTCCTCGTCAAACCATGGCCAACAAACAAAATCTATCTTTGCTAAAAGGTCGAACTGGAACGAGAAACGGGAAAAAGCAACGGGGCGCTGCTGTTCTATGTTTTGCGATCGATGCAAGTTAAAAGGGTAAGAACAGGATGAAAATACGTTATTTATTATCTATCTATCTTTCCCCTGAAATATTGACATTTTCTATCACGAATAGAATATACCTAATACATATATATATATATATATTGGATTGTTCAAATAATTCGTACGAATTTATGGATATAATATATATAAATGGAAATGAAGATAATAAAAATATGAACTTTCGTGTTTAAAAATAATAAGTAGCTAGGTATTTTATCTGAAAATGAAAATGTATTGTATCTGGGTGAAGTATAGGGTGTCTGTTATTAACTGTTTCAAATGCTTATATTAGATTCTAAAAGTTTCTTTAGTTTTGTACAATAAGTTTTATATGTATAATTTTATTGTTTGTTATGTTAAATAATATAAATATATACGATTGATATAATAATAATTTAAATATTTAAATATATTTAATTTAGATATATACGATCTATATATATGATATGATAATCAATAATCAAACTATATAT